CCCCATGCAAAAAAGTCCAAGGGGATTAGGTCAGGGGATCTTGAAGCCCAACTTTCATTTCGCGAACATTATGTGCGAGATTATCTAATGAGAAGTTCCCGAACCGTTGGATTGGTCGAGGGTCAAACGGAATGTTGGCTTCAAGATAACCTGACCTAACCTTCTTGGACTTTTTTTGCATGGGGGTACATTAAGTGAAAGGTTTGCAGCACAAAGGTTCTCAATGTTGAAGATTTAATAGATCGTATCTAATGCTGTTGGTAACATCGTAACCCCTGACATGCTGAATATTCTGAATGTTCAGGGAAACAACAGATCGATTGCAGTTATGTATCGATTTGGAAGGTGGTCATGTGGAACTTCAGTATTAAAAAATGCTAACAACTCATTTTAAATTTACTATCACCAGTTCTATTTAGTTCATTATTGACAATGTGAAGGGCACATTATGCATTTTTGTAAGAATTTTGAGATTTTCAATAAACTAGATTGGGACTTTATGACCACCCTGTACAGTATGCCTACTTACTAAAGCCACAGAACGGAAACAACAATAACACTTTTATGGCAAAACAATTGTTGCTGGTTCCAAATTGTTATCCATGTATTCATCATAGTTGAAAATTTACAGAAGTCACAGAAAAACACGTCCTCATCCGTGTTGTCATCGGTACCTGCACAGCTGTTATGAGCCGAATTCCGGTGACCAGTGGCGTATTTTGGCTGAAGGGTCAGGGGGGGCAAGGCAACAGAGCGAGGGCGCCAAACCCCACCCAAGTGATATCAGGTGAGAAAATTATTTCCTGGGCGCCAGGCTCTGTCCTATGGGCGCCAGGGGGGGGGGGGGGGGGGGGGGGGGGGGGGGGGNGTCCTTCATTGGCCAATCGCAAGGGTGTTTTGTTTCATCAGGACAACGCGCGTCCTCATACCGCTCGGATCACGTGTGCCAAAATCGAAGAGGGAAAAAATTCCACATCCGCCGTATTCACCAGACATTGCACCCTCCGATTACCACCTATTCAGAAGTCTACAAAACTATCTCAACGGAAAATAATTTGAAAGTTTGGAGGCTATCAAAAGTGACCTGTCCGCAATTTTTGCTTCAAAGCCAAAGGAATTTTATAAACATGGAATTGAAATGATTGTAGAAAGGTGGCAGAGAGTCATAGAGAACGAAGGGGAATATATACTTGATTGAAACTTGATGCGATGCAGGTGTATTTTAATTTTGAAAAACAGAGAAAAAAACTACATTACTTATGGGATGACCTGATATTTTGAATAAAACCTTTGTAAAACAATATTTGGAGGAGTATTTGACAACAATTTTTAGAATTGTCGGAGGGAAAAACCGTCGCTGATTTCACGATGAAGTTGAATCCTAGTCGTAGGTAATACATGAAAGGTTCCGCATACCGATCCGCAACGTGCTACGCCGACTCCTTCGTACTAAATTTTGGAAAAATTCCTGAACTGACCCGTTTTGCTCCACCTGCCCCTACACAACAAGGAAAGTTTCCTCCTAATTCGTAACAAGGTAGTATTTCATCACGTGAGTTGCTATGCATGAACAGGGTGATATTCACTAAGCAGGTGCTGACGTCTTCATTAAGCTGCCTGATACACTTGCTTAGCGAGATTTATGAGTAGAAAAAAGAAGTTGAAGGCCAAAAGAATCCAAAAACAATCTGCAAAATGAATTTCTGTTTATTGCCATGGTAGCAGGGGAAACCGTCGAAGTCCCAGAAAGCCATGAAGGAAATTAGCAGGTCTTCACGTGATGGTGAAATAAGAGCGGTAGGGTAACGTGGTAACCATTAGTGGTAACCTAGTAACCAGTGTTTTGCCAGAAGAGGGGGTGGGGACTAAGTGAAACCGAGGAGTCTAATATTCGTAATCTCGTATCATCGAAAAAACGTAGCGTCGAAATCACATATAGAAAAGACACGTACGCTTAACAAACGATATGCCTTCAATGGATCCATTGAAGGCAAAAAATTTGCAAAAAATTTTTACTTGAGGTAAAATTGGGACGGTGAAATTGAGATAAAAAACCGGTTTTCTCCTCTCTTTCAACCTATCAGAAGACCCTTCAGGTAAAGATTAGGGGAAAAAGCGGTTAAATTTCGACGAACAAGGGGGTAACGTTTTGTATAAGGAAGCAGCCGCAGCCGCCACAAATTTATGCTGATCAGCCAAACGGTGTTGACACCACAAAAACACTGTCCAAAAAATTTGGGAACCTCTTTCAATTTTTAGCCACTCGTAATTGGTTCAGGCTATCGCTGTGCGCCCTTTGTGGGCTGACTATTGCATCAAATGAGCACATACATGCAAAGTTACAACAATATGCATTCTCTGGTTCTTGAAATACAGGGGAAGAGTTACCTCCTACCCTCCACCTCCTACCTCCGAGAGACTTCCCCCTCACATGGAAGGAGGAATCTTCGACCTCCAGTAGACCGAGGACTCAGTCGAGATAGTTTACTGTGTATATACGTGTGGATGTGATCCGTCCTCTCTTGCCACCTGGGTGGACCCTTTTTCTGGTTAGTGGTCTCTCATCGTATAATATAACTTTTGTTCCTATTGTTGTATCATCTCGTATTTCTTTACGGATCTCACTTGCACTATACCAATAGGAGTCGGATTACAATTTGCATCACCCACATACAGACACGTCAAGAACCCCCGCGCCAAATGCCCTTGAGAGACTCGAAATGTAAGCTCGTAAAATATTTGTGATCCGCAAGCAGGGAGAATCATGCATAATTTAGGGAGTCTCTATGTACGGAGTGAACCCATCCCCAAGAATGTCAATGTTGCGCGATTTTTTGCTCGCGAGATTCGACGCTACGAGATTCGATGCAATGTGGCTGCTGTCTTTAATTCAATTTGAATTATAGAAAATCAAATTTCGACTGTACGTGTTTCGACGCTACGTGTTCTCGACTGAAGGGAGTTTTCGATCGAAAGTGGCTTCGACGCTACACAGTACTGCCTTCCTCGGCCTCTGGTAACCAGTGTTGGGCACTTTACACGCGATAAGTAACTAATAATAATTGCAAGTGAAGTAATTATTTATAAGTGTAATTTAAATCTCATCAGTGGTAACTACCCAAGCAGCATGTTTATGTTAATTTTACGTAAACTGAATGTAAATTTTTTGTCCATTTTATATCTATTTTACGCAAACCATCATCAAGATAATGTCAACATGTTTGCAGAAATGTCACCTCTGGAATATGTTAACGGTGATATAAAATTTACGTANAAGATAATGTCAACATGTTTGCAGAAATGTCACCTCTGGAATATGTTAACGGTGATATAAAATTTACGTAAATTTTACGTAAAATTGACATTCCCGTTTACATCCCCAACAGCATTTTACATCCATTTTACGTAAAATTGATGTTGATTTCCCCATAATATCCATGCGTATTTAACGAGCTAATTCGTACTTTTGAAGAGAATCGATTCACTGTATTTATCCCATTCCTTTCCATACTTTGGTACTCAAGATTACTTGGACGAGTACACAAGTACTCATCATCACTAGCACTCAAGATTACCAGGACCTCAGGAAGAGAAATAAATGTTTAAGAGGAGGTCTCTTCCATTAATGATAGAGAAGGCATGACCCTGCGATTCTACTCTTCCCTAATCCCGTGCACTGCTGAAATAACAAGCTTACCTTCAACATTTAATGATTCCCTGAGTCATATATTATTATAAATATGTAATAATTTCCTGTTTTCCATATATATATTCATGGATTGCATAATAAAAAGCGAAAGGATAGTAAGAAAACCTGATACTATATCGGGAAAGCCAGTACTTGATAGTAATTGTAGGCTGCAGGGAACAAGGGAGGAATCTTGGTTTTGCAACTGCGGGATGGTCAGCTAAAGTTTCATATGGGAAAGCGTGATGTTAACTTTGCATAAACTTGATATGATGTACTTCACGTCAGATGGAGTGACGTCTAGTTTACGCAAAATACACGGACACTTTGGTGACGTAAATTTAGGAACGTAAATTTTACGTAATATGCCTTCTCTATCCTTGATGGAAGAGACCTCCTCTAAACATCTATTTCTCCTCCTGAGGTCCTGGTACGGGAGGAGGAACTAGTGAGTCATCTTGGTACTCTTGAGTGCTGGTGATGATGAGTACTTGTTTACTCGTCCAAGTAATCTTGAGTACCAAAGTATGGAAGGAATGGGATAAATACAGTGAATCAATTCTCTTCAAAAGTAAGAATTAGCTCGTTAAATATGCATGGATATTATGGGGAAATCAACATCAATTTTACGTAAAATTTACGTAAATTTTATATCACCGTTTACGTATTCCAGAGGTGACATTTCTGCAAACATGTTGACATTATCTTGATGATGGTTTGCGTAAAATAGATATAAAATGGACAAAAAATTTACATTCAGTTTACGTAAAATTAACATAAACATGCTGCTTGGGGTGATTTCGGCGATGACAAGGATGAACGTTGTAACAAAGCGATGATTTCGGTGATGACAAGAATGAATGACTGACAAGGCGATCGTCATTTTCATATTAAGTTTTGTCGGTCATCTCTTGACAAGACAAAATTTCAGTGGCGTTATAGTAACATCAATGACAATTTTTTTTTCGAAAGTGAACTAGTTACTGCTTCCGTTACTACTCCCTGTGAAATAACTCGTTACAACTGATATTACCGCTGTAATTACCGTAAAATGTAGCTACAGTAACGCGTTACTTGTACTTTGTTACTCAAATTAGTCCGAGGATCCCAGCTACTCGGAAAAATTGTAAGATTTCTTGCCACCATACTCAAGAAAAACCTGATGCAAGTGGACGATAACCTGAGAACAATCCCTATAGCCCAAACCCGGGGTGTTCTCCAGGGCGACTCTCTGAGCCCACTTCTATTTATTCTTTTCTCCGCAGATCTCCCAGAATTTATAAAAGAGCGCTCCGCAAAAATCGAGATAATTATGTACGCAGACGACATCGTTATCTTCTCCTCTTCAAGAGACGCTCTTCAAACAGCCGTGAACGCATTGGAGCTATGGGCCAGAGAGAATTCTCTTCAAGTGAACAGACAAGGCGAAAGTGATGAAATTCCGACTCGGTGAGAAACTGGGGAAACAAGATAAAATCAAGTTTGGGGATACGAATCTGGAGTTCGTCGATGAATTTTCCTAGCTCGGAGTCATATTCCAAATCACTGGAACGTTTACAAAGCATATAAAGTCGAAAGTCAGAAAATACATAGCAGCGCCTTATTCCATAGAAAAAAAACTTACAAAAGCTCTCAATACCTGCAGCTCTGTCTCTCTTCAAAATAAAAGTCATGCCGATTTGCACTTACGCTCTCCACATCATCTGGAACGACCTGTCCACTTCCCATTTGCAAGGCCTGAACAGAATCAAAGCGATATTCCTAAGAAGAGCACTAGGGGTCTCCCGCATCACCCCGAGTAACTTGATCATCGCTACGCGTGGAACATCTCCTCTTATCGAAGACATTCTCGAAACTTGGAAGCTGGAACCGACGCATCAGTTGAAAAACTTGAGAGGTATCACGGCCGTAAAGGCCTTACCAGACGAGTTCCACAGCTCAATCGCTAAGACACAAAATTCCTGAAAAGCCTCAAACTACCATTCCCGGCACGTTATCACTTGGTTTTCAGCCACAAGATTCCACCATCTTATCTGCATAGTGAAGGGTTTCCACTGACCAAGTGATACCTGCTTCTGTAGACAGTGTAATAATTCAGCAGCAAACATTTACCACCTCATGTCATGCGCGGGTGACTCCCTTCCGCTGACCTTTGGGGGGTAAGCAATGATGACAGTTGCGTGTTTATTTAACTATATTATTACTTGTTGTCATAGTGTCCCATTGACTAATAATGCATTTATATTGCCTAACGGTTTGACTTTTTTAATAACTCTACTACGCTCATGCCTCACAGGGTGCAATATGATAACGAACATTACAGGAATCTTTACTTCGTTACCGCCCAACACAGCTGGTAATCATATTCTTTCCCGAAGCAATTTCTCAAGGTTTTTATGGATTTCTTCCGATGTCCGTGCGGAGCCTGGTGAACAACCTTAGCGCTTTTCCTTCGAAATACTAACGCACCATGAAAGTCAGTTAATTTCCCGTTCATATTGTCAGCTGAAATATCAGAGCTAGGCCTTAGAGAGCTCGGGTAGCCAGGCGGACGTCCGAACGATACGGCGACTGAATTCTTGCGTAGATGTCGTAGTTGCCCCGCCCATCCGCTCTTCGTCACAGCCCTGCGTGCAGCCAGCATGGCAGCAGGGTCTTGATCAAGGACTGCTCGTTGCCGTCCTATTCTGTCACTCACGATTGGCTACTGAAGCTATTTCGTACGACTTTTTCATGTGACTTCGACGCGCCCAAGACAGTTGAGTCATTTTCATACCGAGCAGTCGCTGTTTCCGTTCTGTAATCTTAACGTTGTGTCCGACGGTCGAAGGACTCCTTGTTGGGCTTGGGTAGGTTCATTATCAAACTGGACTGGAAAGAGACTAGCTTACCTTGCATCAGCCAAGTAGGTCAAGATCTAGTGAGGCCTATGCTATGCGACACATGGAAGAACTTCCATTGCGGATGCCCTCGTAGGACTAAGCCAGCCGTAACCTACGCCTACCTGTATGCTTTTCGTAATGATTAGTACCACCCTTAACTATTGGCCTATTATTTTTATCATGGGAGGCATACCCAAACCGCCTTGGATGGACCGAATTAATAACAGTGCAAAATGTAAAATGTATTGGGAATTGATTGGCAAATCACAGTACGTGTTTGATGTAACCCAGGATGTTGATGTTCTGTCCAACCTGTGCCAATATTTTGGGAGTAGAAGAAGGACCTAGTTGCTTTCGATTTGCATGCAGCACTTGTCCTTACGTCTATAATGTCAATAAGAAAATCAGCAATCGGATGTATCCAAAGTTGAAGGTAAGAAGAAACTTATTCATTCCCTCATCAATTCAGGATGCAGAAATAGTTAATGGGTTTCCTATCCTTATCCAGGAAATTGATGATGTTCTTGGTGGCTCTGCTGCATGGGAAAATGTAGATTCAACTGAGGAGGTTTGTCCTAAGTGTACACATCCAAGAGCATATTTCATGCAGATTCAGACCCGATCAGCAGATGAACCCATGACAACATTCTACAAATGCTGCAACCCTCTTTGTGGACATCGATGGCGTGACTGATTTGAGTTTTTCTACCCTGCTTAATCACATCTGTATGAGAGTCCTCTTTTCAGGTTGTAAGCGTAGTGTGCAGCATGTTATACACCAAAGTTTGAGCATTGTTATTCGTATGAAGCCTTTCCCTCATGTCATCCCATTGTTGGAGAATGGGACAAGTTTCAATATAGACTCCTTAGCTTCTGTTGCAGCAAAAGCACTTTTGAGTGGTGGAGTCATTGCCCTCCCAACAGACACCATCTATGGTATAGCTGCACTGGCCCAGGATCCTGATGCAGTTCAAAAGATTTACAAGATAAAATCACGTCAAACATGCAAGCCTCTGGCCATCTGTGTTGCTGACATTGATGATATTTTTCACTGGGGACAAGTGACTGTTTCAAGGGAATTGTTAGAAAGGCTTCTTCCAGGACCTGTAACTCTGGTCTTCAGGAGATCATCAAAATTGAATCCAGCCTTGAATCCAGGAACTGATCTCGTTGGGATTCGTATACCAGATCATGACTTTGTGAAGGCTGTTTGTCAGCAGTGTAGGGGTCCTCTTGCTCTGACAAGTGCAAACATAAGCTCTGGTCTCAGCCCCCTTTGTATTAAGGAGTTTTCTTCTTTGTGGCCGCAGTTGGCCTTTGTCTTTGACGGAGGCAAACTTGGAGACACAAAAGAAGCACGTTTGGGCTCAACGGTTGTAGATCTGTCTCATAGAGGACAGTACTCTTTCATCCGTCCAGGCTGTGCCTGTCTGGCAACCCAATCAATACTTGAAGGAGGTGGTCTTACTGTAGCCACTCAACAATGAGCCTCCTAAAGAGGATTTCCAGGCTGACCCCGGATCTCAGACGGGAGAAGAGTGTCAAGGCAACAATAAGTCAGAAGCTTTCTGAGTGCTTCAAGGAGCTGGCTGGACGAGAAAGGAATGAAGAACATGCAATTGTGAATGATGACCTGACGAATCAAATCTGCTCTATAATTGAGGCTGTCTTTGTTCATGGCCTTAGAGCCAAGTTCTTTGCTGCTGTCTCTGACTTGATCAGTACCAATCCAGATTTCATTCCAAATCCAAGCTTCTGGGATTTCCTGCTTGTCTACCTCCACAAGGACCTCATCTCTGAGATCCAGTCCCTGTCTCAAATCTCCACTGACATTGGAAAAAGCCGGGCTTGGATAAGAATTGCCATGAATGAAGGCCTCCTGAGTAGTTACTTCAAGGCCATGGTCAGTGACACTCGAAACTTGAAATTCTGTTACCACTCCCATGCATACATGCGAGATGCAGAGGAGCCTGAAATCATGTTGAAATATCTTGAAAGTCTTGAGACATATTCCTTCAAGTTGGCATTCAATTCAAGTGTACTGAACAAGTGGACTGTCACCCCACTTTTGCTTGCTGGTGTCTGGTCGCCTCCAATTCCTCCTGACCCCGTTGTTCAGGGAATTGATGCACTGCTGGGCCTTGAGAATGAACAGGGTGTCTCCAGAAACCACAAGCGTCAGCATCCCCTATCATCAGGATCAGACCCAAATGACAACAATATGACGAGTAGTACCTTTGATGCAGAAGAGGTCTTCAGGTCTATCATCCAAAGTGGTCAGCATGGTGAAGAAAGCAGAGGGGGAGGTACATCACAGCTAGGTGATGGAGCATTGGACATGATGAAGGACATTGTGCATTATAGTGTTGAACCTATTGATGAGGACCTGGAAAACCGCATCATAAGGCGAATTCAGGAAAGCAGGTCAGAGGACAAGGAAGAGGAAGTTTCATCTGAATGCCCTGGAAGTAGCATTACTGGACAAGAAGAGACATCAGCCAGTGATGGACTCTTGCATCCACAACAGCCTGGCCATGCAAGGCCTACTCGTGCCATATCAATTCAAGAATCATATAATACTCTATTAAATAATTATAAAGAGGTGATTGACAACACTGTGATCAAGACTCCAGACTTCAAGGAACTCTGGGGGTCTCTTGGTTCCCCAAGTTCAACAGATGCCAGCTCCATGGCTGGAGAATCATCAGAGGACATGCTGCAAGAACACTCTGAGACCACTGAACAACCCGTTTCCAGTCTCGTTTCTAAGGATTCCCCTGAGGTGAAGGTCAACATTCCCCAATTCAATGAATCTGGTGCTAAGTTGAGGCTTATCTATATTCATTTCATTTGTGCTTCCAGTCACCTGGTGCTGAAAGGATGGGTTTTGAAGTTGTGGGTCCTGCCGATGCTGCAACTGATGATTCCGTGAGTTTCATTGAAAAATACATTCATACCTGGTTGCTGACTTCTAATGAAAGCTTAACCTGCAACAGGATTCTGTTTTCAAAACTGACAAGCTGCTGCTGAAAGTTTGTTCAGCTGAAACATGAGATGGTTGTAGAAAACTGATCCACTGGGGGGTTGAAGTGAAAAGAAAGCCTAGACCCAACATCCTTGCATACTTTGCAAGGAACCCTGCTTATGAGTGGAAGTAGTCAATTCAAAGGATGTTATGAATAGCTTGAGACTCCAATATGAAAGCAGAATTTATGTTGCAGAGGCATTGCCACCGTGTACTGTATTGAGTATTTTTTCATCTAAGCATCTGAACTTTTGGCTATACAGTATGTAAACTGAAAAAAAAAAACTAAAAATCAGTCTCTGAGTAAAAAAGTAGGCCTGTTGAAAATAAATGAAAAGAAAGGTTGCTTGAAGCATATGTGTTTTTGTTATCTTGGGCTTCTGGAAATTTACAATTCTCATTTCTTCCTCCTTAGTTTGGGAGCAATTTCAGTTAAGGCAGAGTCGCAAGCAACAGAAACAATAATGCTTTTGTATCAAATTAATTTTTGATGAACCAATGTGTCTGTCATCCCTGCAATAATCTTGAAAGTTTAACACCAAGAATTTGTCTCAATGCAAACTTAAAGATTCTTTGAACACTGTAGAAATGTTTTCAGGATGTCTAAAAGTTCTAAGCTGCAGCAGCATTAACTTGTGATTTTCATCTTTTCTTGTGATATTTATGCACTTGGCAGCTCCAAAAATGACAAGTATCATGAAAGTATTCGCTGCAATCAACAAATATGTGATATACAAAAACCACAGGGTCTTGTCAGAATACTGAAAGGGTGTCTATGCTTGGCTCTGCCAAAAATACCCATTGAGATCAAAGCCTGCATTGATATGCATATTCCTCCCAGTACTGCTATTTTGAATTTTTTTTTTCATGAATGAGAGAGATCATTCTCCAAATTGTGCATAGGCTATCTTTGTTGCTGTTAGTTACCACTTGAATTTCCTTCTGGTAGACAGATTGGAATTTCTTCCAGAATCGCCACCAGTTCCTGGAGTTTCTTGGCCATATTGCAAATGAACAGGGTTTAGACAGACAGAACTATCAGTGCAAGGCTTGTATGCGACCAATTGGAATGATTTATGGAAAGGCAAGGTAAGTGATATAAATATCCATGTGTCTGTAGTAGTTGCATTCTCATCATTGCTATCATGAGGCAATCCAGGATTTCATTACCTTTGCTTTAATCCTGTTAGCCTTTCCTCCTTGAGCCTTGTGACTCATTTACCCATAAAGGCTTCAAAAGTTAGCTTTTCTAAGGGCAAAACATATCACAATCTTGCAGGAGCAATTTCTATGTTTATTACACCAGTTGTGTTGACAGCTTTACAACATGTCCATTCAAGTGTTTGTCCATCCAGGGATTATGGGGCAAAGCTCTCAGTGTTGGCCAGACACATTCTGCTGCTACTTTGAGTCTATCACTAATGATATTTGATGTTTCATGTTGTGCTCATTGCTACTATTAGATTTTCCTGTGATCCCCTTTGTATTTTATGTTTGGCCTGCTGTTAATATTTCAAAATCACTGTTTATATTTCACGTCTACTGAGGGATTCTGCCAGTCCAGACTTCTTAAGACCATGCTTTGTAGCACTGATTGTGAACTCCAGTAAGTCTCCTGCTTGGTTCCATGTGAGCAGATTACTTGAGCATGGAAGTGATATCAACAGAGAATAAATAAAACAGGTTGGGCATGTTCAATCCAATAATGACAATCTTTCAAGTAAACTTGAATGAGGTGTATTCATCAAGGAGAATGGGAGGGAAGGGCTGATGTTTCAGAACCTCAACCATCATCTTTTTCAGTTACACATGAGGTTTGCTTACAAACCAAAATAATCCCAGTTGTTCTGGCATGCTATTATTATTCTTTTGCACCTAATTTAACAATGAAAATAGTAAAACAAAGGACAGGACTGAATTTTTTGTTACTTTGGAACAAGAACCTACCTTTATTACCTGACTGATAATTTGTGTCTGGTAGTGGAAATGTCATCAAGATTGAGCTGTTTCTTGATACAGAAAGTTGAGCTTTTAAGACAGCTGATTTGACTGTATTTTGTGCTGGCCTTGGGAGCTTCAATGAAGTTTTTATGTTTTTTTAGAAGACAGCTATTGTTCATGGAATTTGAAATGTAGAAACACTTCCTCTATCTGTCTAGGTTCTGTATGTTTGATGGAAGCTATTATTGCTATGAGTGTCACGAAGAAGAGAAGAACGTGATTCCAGCTCGGATGATTCACAACTGGGATTTCACTGCATATCATGTATCGAAAGAAGCCAAGAAGTTCCTCCAGAGTATCCAAAATGAGCCTTTGCTGGATATCAAGTCTATTAACCCACTCATTTACTCTTATTACCCTGAGATGCAGAAAATTCAAGTGAGGGGTTTGTTTTCTTGTACATAAAGAATTATGCAGCCAAAAGCAACCAGCTTGTACTCAGTCTTGTAATGGAAACTGTTATTTTGCCTGAAAGGAACTCAGGAGGATGTTGAACTATCTGAGACTCTACCTCATGTCTTGTCGAGGGAGTCCTGCTGAGGAGTTCCGAAAAATCATCTGGCCTAAGGAGTATCTTTGTGAACATATTCACCTCTATTCCATCCAGGTGATGCATATAGTTTATTCAAAAAAAGAACATTTTCATTTTTCAGGTTATTCACTTCATTGGGAAAAACAGATAAAATATACCTTTCATGCCACATATAACAGTATTTTGTCCATTATCATATAACAGGATCTCCAGCAAGTACTAAATAGTCAGTTGGCAGGATTGCTGCAGAAGGCCATTGATTATGCAACTTCACATGTCCTAAAATGTGCCCTATGCTGCCAGAAGGGCTTCATCTGTGAAGTCTGTCGACAAGATAAGGTCATCTTTCCCTTTCACCTCAATTTGACCCATCGAGTGAGTCTCTTTGTCCATTCACCATACTGGTTGGTTTGTATCCTTGACAAAATGTATGGTGGGTGCTCTTCACAGTGCTCTAAGTGCCATGCTGTGTATCACTCCCAATGCATGAATGACCTGCTTCCCTGCCCAAAGTGCAAAAGACGAGAAAAGCGAGCGGAGGAAGCTGCCATGCGGACCACTCCTGTCCTTTCCACTGATATGGATGATGGAGTTCACATGAGTGAAGAGTTACATGATGCACTAAGAGAGAAGTGATATGTGACAATTCAAACTGTGCATCTTCCAGACCTTATTGAAGAGAACTGCACTGACTCTCCATTATGCCGTGATGTTTTCTTTTTTTATTGACACCTGATTCCTCTATAATGAAGATATTCTGAATGTCCTGTTTGTACATCTATTGAGAGAGTCCTCAAATTATCCTTGTGTGACCTGCTTTTCTTCATAAATAGGATTACTGCCATCACAGGCCCAGGGCATGACTAGGAACTTGAGCCAGAATCCTTCAGGCATTGATGAGACAAAATATTTTAATATCACTTTCATCACTTCTTGCACAGTGGCCACAACACATGTAAGAAAAGCAATTCACAGCCCTCATGTCATTCTTTTACAAAAAAAAATCATTCGTACATTAACCCGATACCAAGTGGCAAAAGACAGGAATATCTATAAAACAAGAAACAAAAGATAGAATTTTCTATCTTTAAAGATAAAAGTGTCAGATATAATCAAGCAAAGAGCTAAAAAAAAAAAAAAAATCTAATTAGGGGTAGAGATGGAACCCTGGAAATCCAGGATTTCCCATTGCCTCCAGCTGCAAAATAAGAATGTGGAGCAGCCTTGTGAAAAGAGGTAACAGTGCCTTGCTTTTACACAATTTTTCTTTCCTAGAATGAGGGACTGGAAGTAATTCAGATCAAAATCCTCATTCACACATCAAGGAACTGCAAATATAGACTTTCCTTCCTTTGATATAGTTTTGCAAAGGAAAAACCCCACTTTGACCTCTACCAGTCTCATGAATACAGGGTGATTCATAAGTCAGGTTACATAGGGGGAATCATTATTGTTGCAGGTGTGTGAATGCTTGCAGTGATGTCTTTGTCAATAGAAGAACGTATTGAGGCGGTGTTGTTGGTGGCTAATGGCAGTTACAGACATATCGCTGAGGAGTTTAACTGGAAGCACCCAGAATAAAGACATTCCCCATGTAACCTGACATGAATCACCCTGTAGTGTGAAAAGGTATTGCTAGGAAGAACATGATTGTTTGGCTTAGAAAAATATCTCTCAATGTACTGATAAGTATCTGGCACAACCATTGAAAGCATATTAAGATTTAGGCTTGGTGATTACAGCACCTATGAGAGTGACAGGACTAGGCATACACAAAGAACCTTGTGTGTATACTGATGAAGTTCCCATTCTTAAAGACCTACTATGCCACCTTTGATATGGATTTTGGAAGTTGACAACTTGTAACAAAAATTTGCATTCCATTTCCTGAGCTTAGGCAAAGAGATCTCCCCATTTAAGTATCATAGCAGGAGAAGATTGTGAAAGGCCTCAACTCAATTCTTATAGTAGCATAGTTTCTGTCAGTTTCCTTATGAGACCTCTTTCAATAGGATATACAGTTGACTCCATTTAATGGAGTACTACTCAATAGAATATACTGCTTAGCATGAAAAAAAAAGGAATGGGACAGAGTTAAGAATAAATTAATGGGATAGAACCAATTGGGACTGCACAATGGTATTCTGTAAAGTGGAATGTTCCATTAAGTAATATTCTAATAAGTGGAATCAACTGTATCAGATAAATCAAGACAACCAGTGAAAAAAATGGGGGGAGGGAGTTCCTACAATCACTCGGGCTCTAAGAGAAAACTTGTCTAAAATGGAAGAGCAAAAGGTGTGAGAAAGTCCTAGGACTTCTTTTGACGTCTCTTCTCGAGGAGCTTGTTCTTTGAATGATCCAACTTTTTTATGTTGACCTGATCATAATCCACTCGCATTGTGGCCAGAGATCGAGTCATCTCTTCCTGCACTTCAGGCCATTGGGCCACCTCTTCTTTGAGCACCTTGGCTGTGTGCAGAGGTGTCTGAGGGACTTCCATGTGTTTCTAAGGAAAAAAAAGGCCCAGTCTTGACAATATGATACAGCCCAGACAAGATCACAGATGAATTGGTACTCACTGCAATCCAAGGGTTGCACATGACTTGATCAATGACAGGTCGCTTTGCTGGATCAGTTGTTAATAATGCCTTTATCAAGTCTTTTGCATCCTGGCTGACATTGCGCCATTCTGGGTTAGGGAAGTCATACTGACCTGCACGAATGCGCTTCTTCATCCCAGGAGATATGGCCAGACCATGATTGCTGTAGAATGGTGGGAAGCCACACAATCTACAAAGCAGATGAGAATTAGTCAATGACATCAATGCAGTAAACAGTTGTCAACTAAATTAATAAAATCAAGTATGCTCCATGGGTGATCATAACAAAGTTTATACAGACATCTAACTCACAAAATGTACATGATGACACCAAGTGACCACATGTCACAGCTTTTGTCATACTTTTCTGGTCCAAGAACTTCTGGAGCTAAAAAGATTAAAACCATTCTTGTAAGAAAGCCTCCCTCTAAAAAAAAAAAAAATGTCAAAAAGGAGTACTTAACTGTGACTCACCAACATAATATGGGGTATAACAAGGAGTCTGAAGAGAATCCTTGGATAGTGTTTCTTTAGCAAACCCAAAGTCAGTAAGCTTCAAGGTAGCATGAGGAGCTATAGAAAGCAGGAAAATTATAATGTTGAGTTGAAAATGCAAAAACAAGGCCAGGCATGTATTTTCACTCTTTACTTACATTTGTTGCTGTAAAGGAGGTTTTCTGGCTTGAGATCACGATGAGCAATGTTAAGGCGATGCAAGTACCGGACAGCAACACAAATCTCATACATGATTTGTGCAGCCTCTGTTGAGCAGAAGGAAAGTTTCACTTGAGGTACAAGGAACAACAAAACTTAAAAAGACAACAAAAGTATAGGTTGATGATTGATGAGTCATTGAGAGCAATGGATGATTTTTGCCTCACTGGCAAGATCAGCTCTCTAAAATTTCCTTAGTCCTGATAGAAACACACGGGTATATTTTACAAATGTGATTTTCAACCCCAGAACTTCAAACATATATATGGTCTGGTTCTACTAGTAATTAGTTCCAGAGTGGCATACTGAGGGATACCAGGGAACTTGGGACAGAAAGAAGGAATTTAAAGAACTTGCAAGTACTCAACTTTTAACAATTGGGAAGTTAAGGCTTTCCTCAATTGTTTTCCTAAAATATATATCCTTCATTTTAATCCTACTCATTGCTTCAAACCTTACTCCTTTATGAAATTTTGATGAGAATATGCTCATTTGATAAGAAAGGAGTAGGAAGAGGGAAGGCCCAGGACCAAGACTCAGCTTCCAACAATTTACAGATGAAGAACTGATTTGGATTATTTGCATGCTGCATAAGAATTCTGTGCACCTGAATGGTTTCTCAATGAGATGGATGCATCCATTTCTTCATTTCTACTGAAGAAGTGATCTGGTTAACTTTGCACATGAGGGATTCATGATCCCTCATCACCTCATGCCATAATTGTTGCAACTTGTCTGCTCCTCTGCTTTCCAGACAGATTGTATACAAAAGGAGTCTTTCTTTGGCTTGTTGCAAGCAAGTTGCTTATTTTTTCACATGAAACATGCCTTATATCCATTAATTAATGGTCCAGCATGAAAAAAAGAAATCATTATCAGTCACCAGCCAATCACATATGCATCTACATTCCCAAATCCAATTAAGTTACAATTAGGATCAACAACATTACCTCTCTCTGTGAAGGCACCTTCTCTTTCTTGAATCCTGTTGAATAGCTCACCACCTTCCATGCTGAAATTCATGGCATCATATCATATAATGTGAATTGCCCTTTGAACCAGTTTCATTCTATCATTGGCATTGCATGAAGACTGTCATGGCCTACCATTCCATGATGACCAAAAGGCACTTCTGGTCCTTGAACATATTCTCATAAACATCTGTAACTGCCACAATGTGTGGACAACCAGATGCTCTGATATGAAGCTCAATTTCTCGTCTTGCCTTTGGATTGTCACGAAGAATCTGGAACAATGGGAAAGAATTCCAAATGACATTTTTATACAAGCTCCCCTCTATAAATATGTATCCACCACATACATCATCATCTACATATGCAATATTCAGTACTACAGGATATCAAGGTTAGCTAGTCTCATTTACAGTTAATTCAAAAGAACTTAGTTTTCATGAGACTTAGGTCTATGCCTAGATGCCTTTTTAAGTGAGTTCACCATTTTCAATCATTCACTTCACTGAGAATGGAGCTTGGTAGAAATTAGTTATGATGCCCAGTTGCAAGCGTGAGGAGAAATGTAAATAAAAGAAAAAGAAAATTGTAAGGTTGCACTAAAAATTTAGACGAAAACTTGGACCAAGCATTGGTGAACTTCTATATAATGGTAAAAATAAAAAGTTGGACAAATAATTGATTGGATGATGACTATACCTTCAGGGCATATTTTTCTCCTGTTGCTTTTTTGAAACACTCAACCACCTTCCCATTGATACCCAGTCCCAAGACCTTGTCAGAAAGGGTATAATCTTGTGATATTGGATTTTTCTTTGGGGTCAGGAGATGATGACGTCCCACAACCTGATCTACATCCATCTGTAAAAAGAGAAACACCTTCACTGAAAAGGCTAGACTTTTCCACAAACTGTCACACACAATCTAGGCCTAGGGCAAGTGAAAGTAAGGGCTAGGGAGGCTGCAGTTACATGCCTACTTTTGACCACTTTGTGTCAGCATTGGAAGCATGGTTTGTGACACATGGATTTGGTTTGTAATAGGCAAATAGATGATGCACATTACATATTAATGACATTCCAGAGAAAGGAATGATAGTGGTGAGGTGTCAGGGATGCCTCTCCTTAATAAGGAGTATAAATGGACAGTACACATCTCAAACAGAAGGGTAAAAATAAAAAGGGGTGTAGCTTAAATGGGAATGCAATATTTAAATGCTTTTCTGTCATCAAATTGTACATTCAACTTCAGAACATGGATTATTAGGAGTCATTACAAAAATGTATAGCTCTGAGAAATACATGTACTGATACCTTGCAGTCAAGCTGGATCATTCCCTTTCAAGTTTCTATGGACTTCTGGGTAATTTACAGACAGACACAATGTCATACAAAAAAAGACAAGCTTTTGAGAAATTATTGGTCTAGACAACATTTTTGCCAAAGTATGATGAATGAAGCTTTCAAATAGTTCATCTACCTGCTTGCCTTATTCATTGCCTGACTTTACATGCATGGCTATGAAGAACAGGGTGAATCACTTCACTGCAGCCAAATAACCGTCCCAACTACAGTAACAACGGGCTAGGCCTAGACTGACCTTTTCACCTATGCACTCCTTACAGATGTCAAATAACTAAGACAAATATGTGCGATATTGTGGCCAACAATGTTTGAGCGCGTCTGCCTCCTTAAGAAAATTCAAAGTTAGACCTAACAGTTACAGGCAATTGGCCAAGGTAGAAGGTTAAGAACATGTGATCTAAAATATTATTCTGATCTGATCAAACGTTAAAATAGTCTGCTATAGCTAGGCGACACATTGTCTGCACCTTCACTTTCCCTTAAAATATGCAGTTACTGAGAAGAGTTGGTCAACTGAAACACTTTTTCATCCAGTCTTTACCAACAACAGTTATAAGGTGACCATGTAGGCCAAGTCGAGGGTTATCAAGGGTGAGTCCAAACCGTTTTTTTCCCAGAAAGACGTGACTACCTGGGGTACTAATGATAACTTCTGGAAACCGCCATGATGCTAAGCAAGGATGTAGTACCTCTAAATGATCTTCCGGTGAGATTCCTTTAGAAGATGTCTTTATTCTGTTATCATTTGCATAACAAATCCAATAAAAATGGAAAAAACATGTGTTCTCCAAGGAAACGGTTGTTGCTTTTGGCGTGATGTCTTACATAACATTCGAGACGGAAGTAACATATCTACCGATCGAGCAACAAGCACTGAATTAGTGACGAATGTACATGGCTAGCTATAGTACATATGTATCCCTTTTCAGGCCAAAGGCGTAGAGGTGCCCAATAAAGAAGACATGGCCTGTAACTGCTGAGAAGCCTGAGGTACGCAAATTGCCCCGGGGGTGAATGAGTCATAGATAAAACCCTTTGTATTGTCGCCTAGCGGAGTGATGCCCAATCATAGGCCTATGTGATACGGAAAGCCACTCATTCATATTGAACCGAACTTGTCCACTTCCAGTTTGACTTCCATGGAAAAATCTGGATCAGGGTATGAAGTAGTTCTTAAAAAGCACTGTCATATCAAAAATGTATGAAATCAGCTCAAATGGCAGTATCTTAATTGGAGTCCGGGAAAACCCATCTGAAGACAAACTCTAGACTTATGTAAAAGGAAAAAAAAGTTGATTTTGATATATTCTATGCGTTGATATCCTAGCCGTATTTGGAGTTTTTTAAAATTATTATTTAAGAATCAAACTGCATTTTGACTTGTGTACAGGATTCTTTAATATCTGTGATATCAAACTTTGTTGATGGCATAAAAAATTGCTCTTGTTGCAATTGCGGTACACCAAATGAATTCTCTGAATGAAATGTCCTAATTTTTTTTTTTTCACTGTGATCATGATCAGTTATATTTTGGCTCATAACTTTCTGAGAAAAAATATGAAAGATTCTCATCTTAGTACTTAAAAGAAATAACAGGGAAAAATTAAATTGAAACTATTCCTGAATGTTCATTAAACAGGTAAAAGACATGAGTGTCTTTTACCTGTTTTTGTTCATGAATAGCTGCATGACATTTTAATCTTTCTGCCTTGGCAGGCTTTTTTTCTGCTTTTTCCTATTCTACAGGTCTTTTTTTAAGTGACTTTTTTTTATTTATTAAGAGCCTAAGAAACTTCACCTTAGTTTCGATTTGTTTATTTAGAGACTTCCTGAGAAGCAACTGAAAGATGTAATGAAGTCAGTAGTACTTGATTCTAGGCTTTCAATGAATTCTGAATAACTTCACATTTTTTCAGTGGGCACAATATGGTTCACAACAATGAAGTTCCAAGTGTAGGAAAAAATAATTTGAAACTTATAAGTCAATCAAATTTTATAATATGCCCCAATGTGACAGACTTCGACACCTGTTATAAACACAGGGTGTCCATTAAGTGACTACCTATGGGCAACATTTTTATTATAGACCCTGAAGTAGCCTTTTTTAAAACTTTTGTAGACTGACAACATACTTACCTTGGAATAGTGTCAAATCTTTTCTCCTTCCACTTTGGCACAGTCAATAATTAATTTCCCACATCTGGTGTTTCATGATTTTCTTTGATTCATTTGAATGGAAAAGTTAGTCAGACAACAATTTGAGGAAATTTTGCCATTCTGCCTTATTGCTACAACTTCTTGCAGTTATCACAATATTGTTTGAGTACTAGAGCATTTTGGGAATTCAAAATCATAAAAATGAGGAATTTATTCAACAAATTGTCTTAATGTGTTGATTTCCAGAAATTTCTGAGCTCTGGCAATTGCATTGTCAACAACGTCCATGAGAATTCCATCACTTTTCTGGCACATGGCACAAGAGATATTCTCTCTCAAGTTGTTAAGATCTGTGGACTTTGTCATAAAGAATGCCTTTTAAGTAGCCCCAGAGATAAAAAAAAATTACTAGGGAACAAAATCTGAAGATTGTGGAGGCCATTTTGCCCTGGCTGACAAGTTGAAATGCTACACTCCATGTGTCTGAACTTTTGATTGAAACGAGGGTTTGGTGAATGCATTCTCAGTCACATTAGAGGGCAGGAACAAAAGATGCAACACCATCCTGAGGTCTAATGATAATAATAACAGCCTACAAAAATAAAAAAAGTTGGTTCCCCTGGATTCAGTATGAAGAAAGTTATCCATAAGTAGTCACTTTATGGACACCCTATATTTCTCTTACCTAGAAAAAAAAAGTGAAACTAATTCAGGGGACCTTGTCATGAAGTGAGATAGGCATACCTACTTAAGAGACTTTCTCTGAAATTTAATGCAAGTCTTGGAAGAGTTTTTTTTTACCTCAAGGTAGGTTCTAAGGTGTCCTGAACAAACTTGAGGGAAGAACCATGCAGCAAACAGGAGGACCAGATCCAAGACGACCAGAGAAAATACATAGATACAAACCTATTCCTGTTGGCACTCCTGGATCCCCCAGTGATGATGCCACTCCTGACTACCTCAATGTTCTGGGGATGATATTCAGCATGTGTGGCCTTATGATGAGGGTCTGTGCCTTTTGAAAACTCATATTGCTCTTTATTGTATGACTAGTGAAACTAAAGGTTCAGTACCAGCTGATATTTTACCAGTATCTATAAAATATTAGACTACAGTCAACTCTTGATATACCGCCACTGTTGGTCTTTGCCGATTGGCACTAAGCTTTGGTGCTAAGCGTCAACTCTTTCCTGAGAAAATCAAGGCTTGACTGTACTCAAATTTCAGATAGTTTCAAGCTGTGCTAGGAGGAGATACTTCTTGCTCATCATGAAAATGGAGAGGTTGACAATTTTTCCCTTGAGTTTCACTTTTCTTTGTAATACCACCTGCAAGTGATTACTGATTCCCCATACATTGCTAATTGGTTTTGGATACTAATTTCCAAGTTATTCCAATTAGTATTAGTACTAGTAGTCGAATCACTAGTGATGTTGAAGGTTAAGCAGGCAGAAGAAAAGGAGTGAGTGAATACTTGAGTACATGAAATTTTTTTTGCCTCAACTTCATAGTTTTTTTTTCTTATTCATTCCTGTTACATACAAGAAAGAGGCACATTCCTAGGAATGTTGGCGTTCTGATCAAAATTGCTGATTGAAATTGCTAGTGTGGTGGAGGGGAAGAAAAGAAATGCTATCCAATAGTTTTATGATACCTCAGAACCTGTGCATTCACCTCATCTTTATTTAATGCAAACAATTTAATTTACCCATCCAAGGAGTGATTGTGGCCCCCCTTATTTTCAATGTGCAACAATCCTTTGTGAACCATCTAGTGATGACACATTGTGAGTTTTACCCCAGAAAAGCTGGATTTTTTTTTGTAGAAAGAAGTCATCAGTCATCACTCATCTAAAGAGTGAATAACTAGTTCAGAAATTTGAACAATTTGGCAGCTAGAGCTAAAAATTCACCAAAACAAAAGCCCTATTTTGTAGATCTGACATGCCAAGAAAGGCAAATGAAATGGGAATACATAATTGACAATGGTTCCTTCCTTGAGATTTACATGTTTTGCCAGTCTGAAGTGATGGTGCTTCCCATAGGTAATCTTTGAGTAGGGTGGCAGAGTAAACATTTTGTTTTAACTATGTCTACTCTTTTGAAGACTGAAAATCTTTTGTGATAATTCACATTATACCTAGGTCTCAATGTGTCAGGGAATGAATCCTCAATGGTCTTACATGATAAAATACATCAGTCACTCAGATGTACCCTAAGTCAATCATGTTCAATATTCCACTTTGTTGCAGTTGAAATGGTGTGGTTGGGTAGCACTGTATTGCTCTTGTATCAGCTTTGCTCACTCAAGAGTCAATGATGACACCAAGCAGATTCTCAGCAGTTTCATGTAAGTTTGAGGCCCTTATTCAGAACTAGCTGATGGTTTAGGTGTGAAAGTGACATGGAACTGTGCTATTCACTTTTTTTTGTTTTATCCTCAAGGCTGTCTGTGTCAGCTGTGATCATGTCATATCTCCAGAATCCCCAGCCAATGACTCCACCATGGTCAACATGACAACACATCACATTCTTTATTCTCATGCCTATGTTGGTTGTTGCAATAATATATCCAGGTCTTGTCCCTTGAATTCTTGATTCTGATTCTTCCCAAAAAGGGATCTAAACAGTTCATTGATGGCTTCATGAGACATGAGAGGCTGGGGGATCGGTGCAGTGAAGTTCAACAATTTCTGATGGACCTCAAAGCTGAGCTTCCTCTCCTTGCTTGCTCGGTTATCGCGTTTCTTCTTTAGTCTACTCCTGAGCTTCTGGATCTCCAACCATTGCCTGAATACCATAACAAATAGGCAAGATATTTAAGTATATGCCTCTTGATCTTTAGAGACAATTAGAGCATGCCATGCAATCAGGAACCTATTCCAGGGGTTTCATGTACACTATCACCATTCACTGCAGCTTCCAAAAGCACCTCTCTTGGCATAATATTCCTTTTTTTCTGCATAATTTTCAAATTTTCCTTACATATTTACTTGAAAATGTCATGACTGTTTTCAGATAAATCTGCTTTTGATGATAATCAAATTCAACAGATTCATGCAGTTTATGGTCTGAATGCTAATTTGTGATACAGGTGATGTCAGGTCAAGGGGATGACCACATTTAGCTCTTAGGTTGAGAGGTGTTTGATGCATGAGTTACACTGGGCAGTGCCATACCCAACATCACTGGACTCCCTTCCGAAGAGCAACAGCTATATTTCTTGCCCAGAAAATTGTGCAGAGAAACAAGTCAGTGATGTTGCTTCACTGTTGCTGAGCTTCCATGCATAATGCAATAGGAGAAAATCATTACAAGTAAATATGAATATTTGTTAGAGGCTGAAATTTTTACCTTCCCATTGTAGTTGGGTCAGATGTGTCTACAGTCTTTCTCTCTATTAGTTCCCTGAGCAACTGATGATAGAAATCATCATCATTAAAGATTTGTTCATCATATTCATCAACTGGAGCTTCCTCAATCTGTGGGGGTAAAAAAACATAATTAGGAAGCCTATGAATCAACATAAGTGTTACTATGATATTCAACTAGTAGAACCTCTGGTGCTTTTCGCTTCCCCAGCACTTGATATTGAGAGCGCTTGAGTTGAGTGCGCCGAATGAGGCGATCTCTATCTTGTAGCAGATGCTCAATCTGTTTGCAGATGGGCTGTGTCTCAAATGCAGCAAAGGATCTCTTGCTTTGCATTCCAGCTGATTTCCCTGATGCAACCTTTGTCCTTGAGTCCCATTTTGTCAAGGTGTCTTCTACAAAGTTGGCTGTCTTGTCCTGCTGCTTTAAGAGACCTTTTATGACTTCCTTCTTGTCCATGTGTGGCTTCAATTGGGTAAGATCCTCATCCATCAAATCTTCTTGTGGTTCCTCTGTTCCACTTGCTTCATCACTTGGGATCTCTTCATCACTGTCAACAAAATAGCAGGATTGTACAAGCAGAATTTGTTTCATTGGAGGAACAACAGTGTTTGAGATTGTACCTGTACTAGTGAAGAGTATGACTGCAAAAAGTGGCAGAAGGTGACAAAGATACCAGGACATTGTATGAGATAGATTTTAGATCACCAATTAGGAGGTGAGAGGGCATTTACATTGCAATCTGACATATATCAGGTTGTAAAGGTGAAATTTAGACATTTCGATTTTTTCTAGAAAAATCTGGAAAATGTTAGAACTTTCTATGTAGGTGTATCAGTAGAGTGACCAGTGGGCATTGTGGGCGTGAGTGCTTATTGTGAACCTACAACAGATACATTGACGCAAGACTGCACTCTAGTCGCTGTTGAGTTAATTGTCAATAAATTGTTTTCTGGAAAATGTCTAAATTTCACCTTTACAACCTGATATATGAGGGCTGATCAGAAAGTAAAGTAAGTTGGCCTGAGTTTTGCACTGCATTTATTCATGTGACCTGTAACTTACATAAATTGGTAGTATGTGTGCACCAATATTTCTCCACAGAGTCACCATGGAGATATCAACATTTGTCTCATCGGTGCAACAGTTTGTCAATGCCAGCAGCGTAAAAGGCAGGGTCCTGTGTGCAATCACATCCAAGCATCAGCTTCAATGTCATCAGACACAAAGTGGTGTTCACTGAGGCACTTTTTCAAAGGGCCAAACAGATGGAAATCACAAAGCGCCAGGCCAGGACTGTATGGCTGGTGTTTGAGGACCTCCCAATGAAACCTCTGCAACAGCTCCTGTGTTATGAACTGTATGGGGATGTGCGTTGTCGTGCAACAAGATGTTGCACCATTTGACCACATTCTTCAGGACCATGACATTGTCTCTGTATACCTCTGTCAGCTGTCTATATATTTCACCTGTTAAAACATTTTTGCCCACAGGAAATGGATAACAGAATGAACTTCTTCACTGGACCACGTGTCTAAACATTATGCCATTTTGACACTCCACTCCTCCTGACCTGCACACAGATGACTGTAGAACTCTTACAGTGTTGCCAGCTGTGTAGGTTTGAATGTCTCTACTGTGCTACAATTGATCCCCTGGTGTCATTTTGGTTTCATGGCCCAACTTACTTTACTTTCTGATTAGCCCTCGCACAACAAGGAAATGTTTGTCAGGCTTATGTCCACTTATATTGTAAGCAATAAATGAATGGCTAAGGTTTTCCTGGAAATTTTCCCTCCTCTGTAAGTCTGGTGATTATGACCATCTCCAGTTGAACCATATTGATTTCCTTTATGGTGAGTTCAGCTACCCCCAGTCAACTGAAGTTTCATGGAGTCATTCTTAATACTTTAAATTGGATTTTAAAAAAAGTAAAGTCTCCAAGCCTTTGGTCAGAAAATCCAGTAAATCCACTACTCCCTGGACCAACTACATTTTGAAGTCTGTTGCACTAACCTGTCCTCGTTTCTTGTTGATTGACCAGTGATCAGACTTTTCGTGGCAGGATCCTTGCACAGCAAGATACTCTGAAATATTGTAGAGGAAACCAAATGCTGTTGAGAATGTTCTGGCATCTTAATTTCACTTCAGAAGAGTACAAACCTGTGCATGAAGGAGATGACAGATGGACTCATACACCAACCTCCTGTTTCTTTTGAGAGCCTTTTCGGAGTCTGTATCCCCAGAATTAATGAATGCTGGAAAAGACTCAGGCTGTGGCAGTTGGTTGGCCAATCCTAGAAGTTTCTGCAATTTGATGCGCAGCTCCAGAAATTTGTCCCATAGTGCTGAACAAGAGAAAACATGTCAGTCTCCTACACTCTCTCCCAGAACACCAATGTCACAAAGTAATCTACCCAATTGTTGACGAACAGCAACTCCTCGTCGAATTTCATTCTCTTCATTGAGTGTGGATGTAATGCCTTCCATGACCTCATCATCTGAGCTCTCTTCTCCTCCTTGCTCTGATTCATCTTCTTCCCCCACACTGGACTCCTCTTCATCTTCCTCCTCTTCTGCCATTTCAGTCTCTTCACCTGCTTCCTCCTCACTGAGCATTATGATTGAAGCATTATAACCCTAATCTTTGTTCCCTCCCAAGAAACAGCACCTATTCCCTTGCATCCTTCTTACGATAAATCATCTGAAGGTGCTTCTTCCAGTGATTCCTTTGTAGAAATGGAGCTTTCTTCTGATTCTAAATCCAGGTCTTCTTTTAGGCAATCTTGGAGGTGTTCCAGCAGCTTTTGTTTCTCACCAGGATCAACTTCTGATGACATTCCATCCTTCTCCAGCTTCTTTCGAGAGATCTTCTTCCCATGATAGCGCCAACTGACTGCATCCAGGGATTCTTGATTGGCAATTCGTAGTCTGCTTTGTTTTCTGTCCTCATCAAAACTGACATCTCCAGTTTTCTCTATTATTCTTGCTCTGGACTCTGTAGGGATGAGATGTAACAGAAGTTTGATAACTTTTATTATGGAAGAAAACAAAAGTTGTCTGATAGATAATTCCTACATTTCAGAACCCCAAGGAACACCATTCCTTCCAGCCAGATATACTTCTCTCTTACCTTTTCATTATGATTATCTAATGAAAAGCAATATTTTACACTTTGAATGTTGCAAAAATTAAACATCTGGCTCCCATGATGGGCAATTTTCAAATATTCTTTAAATCAATAAGCATGACAGTTAAAACAGAAAGATGTCACTTTCTCCATGAATATAATAATTATAGGCATTGTCAACTGAAGGTATGGTGCTGTTTACAACACAAGGTGGCTGTAATCCATGTGATGAATGAGAAAGGCCATAATTTCACCTGCATTCACTGCATCTTCATCCACCTCTCCAATGGTTGGAGATGGTGTCACAAGATCCAGCAGTTTTTCAGATAGACTTTTCCTATTTGGAGGTTTCTGTAATTTTGTCCCTTCTTCATGCCTCATCTTCAATAAACGCTTTTAACACATGTAATAGACACAACTTCCTGCTGTGATGACAAAATGTGTTCACAATATTAATGCAATACCTGAAACAGAGCAGGATTTAAAAATTCTGGTATATATCAACATATGAGAAACCCATCAATGTTAGATCCTTTTTTAACAACGTTGATTATACCCTTTAAACTTTCAAGAAAGAAAGTTAATGTACTCTGAAATTTTTATTTTGATCATACATTATCCTATCTTCTGCTTTATTTCTTTAAACATCCTCCACTCGACTTAATACCCTGATGGTCCACACCACCGTCAAAATATATACTACGTAAATTCCAGATCCCACAGTGTAAGCATGCAAGGCAAACAAAAGCCTTGAGCCTCATCTGAGAGGAAGACAGATAAAGCACAATCCATAGTCCTCAAATACATCCAAGTTCTCAAGAAGATGCAAATAACAACGTGCCATCAAACACTACTGTTGATTTCGTTGGACTGGTAATATTAGACGCAAGGGCAGAAAAGAGTTTCCTTCTTAAGTCAATTGCAAAGAACCAACCAACTAGAGAAACCAGGAAGGCAACATAGAAGTCCCCAATAAATGCATAGAGAGTGCCTTCCATGAGTGGAAGAGACATACAATGCCTCTATTTCATCGCCCTGGGGTCAAGTCTGTAACAAAGAGATACAGCCAATCCCCAGGCCTGAGTGACTGAAAGAAAAGCAGGGCAGGCGAGTGCCTTCCTTAATCTCAAGAGGATCAATTACTTCATTTATTGCATCAGAGTGTAAAAAGCTATTTGCTTTGGCTTATTTTCGTATTTTTACTATTTCAGAAAATGTAAATGTCCTCGTGATTAAATTTCCTCTCATATCAGTCGGCTTTCAATCAGCGATCTTTTAACTACTCACTCAACCATGCTTCGCAGAACAGCGCCATGACGGCGCTTCATGACGTCACCTAGTCTCAGTTGACGGGTATGCAGACAGGTGTCAGGTTGTTCGCTGCATTATTTCCGCCGAAGTCCTGGCATGTCTAGTTAGCGAGTCAGTGTCATCCCGAAGAAATTGAAACGTTAACCGTTGTAGGCCTATGATAGAACAATCTTTGCTCTCCTGCAGAGATCTTTGAATGCGCATAGACGTTCGAAAAAGTTCTGTTCCAATAGAGCGTCGCTCCGTCTCAAAGGCTTTGAGAGGCGAGCAGGAAATCAAACTGAACCTAGAAGAGAGACTAGAAACAAACATTCCACGCTGTAGGCCTAGATGTCAACAAAGCCTGCCGCTGAATTGAACCATCATCCCGCCACTTCGCCTCCTGCAAAGAAGCGGAAAGTTGAAGCAGACTCTTTCACAAACGCACTTGGGAACGGCAGCGCAGTGACACCCACATCTGGGGACTCTGGGGTCACAGGGGTAAGGAGTCGACCTTTGCATTCTAGCTTAATGTGGTGCCTGAATAGTATGAAAAGGTTTAAAGTTGACTTTAGGTCTCAGTTATCTCATGTGCAATGCATATTCACTTAGCTATGAGTCTTATTTTGGCTTTTGTATGGGGCAAATCCTGGGTAGTGAAATCCAGGATTTGTGTTGCATTGGATCATTCTTTGATGTAATTGGCTGACTCTGCTTTTGAGCATGGTAGGCTTGCACAACTTTTTAAATCATGTATACTCTCCTTTAGTGAAAGTAGTGAAAATAACAAGACATTGGTTTATATATGGTTTTAGACAAATCCAGCAGTTTTTCTATAGGCATATATGAAAAGAGGTCTAATACTCAATGGTGTAGATAATTTGGAACTTCAGTTTTCTCAGGGGGGGGGGGGTTTGGCCAGGGTCTACTGACATCTGAAAGCCTATAATTGTTTTGGATATTTTCTTGTACCAGTTCCTTCTCTTTCCCAGCTTTGGTCAATCCAATCTTAAACAATCCTCACTCTTGGCATTGCTACTTTGTGTGATAAGATGCAGTGTCTCTAACACCTATGCCACATGTGAACTACTTTCAGTCTACTAATATAAATGAATGGATCATCTAGTCTTCTTTGGCTTTTTGATGCATGGAGGGTAAAGTAACCCCAAGGGTTACTGCATCATTTCTCCCTAATAGTTTTTGTTTTAACCTCTTTTTCATCTTTCTGATAGGTCACTGAAGCCTTTGTCATTAGATCTTTTGTATAAATTCCTATTATACACCAATGAAAACCTCTGAAATGGTAATGCAAAACAGTCTCTCTTTCTGAATGCAAGTGTAAACTTTTCATGAAAAGGCAGTTTTGAGCCTGAATTTATATGAATTGAATCTGAAGCAGAGGAGCCACAGTGACAGAGTACCTCTACTGAGTGAAAAAAATAAAAGGTATAAGGTCTCATTCCATTATAGTTGGCCTACAAGCTACTGCTCAGTGGCCTAGAGCCTACATTGCAGGGAATACATACCATGTAGTTGTCGCATCTCCAAATCTTCAGTACTCCTCTGATGTGTTTTCAGCTCAAGGTGACAATACAATAATTGATTTCTGAGTAATGTTGCTTACAAAAGGATGCATTAAAGTGCTAAGAGTATTGATTATTAAATACCACATAGTTCATGAGATAAGCATTTTCATGTTTGGCCAACTAGCCCAAGCCTGTGAGGTAAGGCTTCTGTTTGGCTGCCAAGATGTCCTGCTACCATTAAAGTGGTTATTTTTTGTTTTTCATGGTATTAGAATTACCCATAGACTTCCATGATTTGACCTTGCTTTTAATATTAGAACTTTTGAGTAGTAATAACCATAGTAACCTATAACAGATTCACTGTTCATGTGTTCAATCACACAAAGCAGCTATTCTCAAACTGGGGATGACTTTTTTGTGTCAAAACTTTTTGTGGTGCATGAGTTTGTTGCTGCTTGAACTAGTGAATATAATTGAATACAGTTTTTTCCATTTACCAAGATAGGAATTCTGCTTCCACCTATGTACAATGTATCCCAGGTCTAAAAACCCACAACAGTGATTGCTGTCCATGGCAAAAATGGGTTAAGAAGGGTGTAACATGTCTTAAGGGATTCGTTTTTTGTTTTTAAAATGATTACCTTGTGCAATTTCAAAAATAATGTTTTATGAGGGTTGCTTAGTTTTTTTAAACTGGAAAATGTTCATCTTCCTTCATAGCCTTGTGAAGACATAAGGAAAGCAGATTTAAGCTATATAGTAGGATGCAAAACCTCCCCTTTTCTCTGAATTGCAAGACCAAGGTCTTTAAGGGTTTTCACCTGGATTACAAGACTGAATAAAAGAAATCACCTTGTGCAGACTTTGAAATTTGATTCTTATTCAATGAATGTTCATTTCCATCAATGATCTGAATCCAATCTTCAATTATCTGAATCAAGACAAGTGCATTGTGCATATCTTTTGGCTGTAATAAGAGTACTCAGTATAGTGTTGGTGCACTGGTTCACTCCAGGTAATATTTGAAAAGACCTAAAGACATGGAAGAGCTGGGTTCCCAAGACAGCAAAATGTCTTAAGACATTTCTTTCAGGTCATAGAAATTCTCCTCTCATCCTACCAGTGTGAAAATTTGGTGCCACTTGGTTATTGAAAATGATCTTTGCACTATTATTCCTACCATTCTGTTCAGATTTTATCATATGTGGGCCCAGGAGCATATGGGCATCCTCATTAAATTTGGTGACTGCTCATCCAATTCCTAGCTGTGACCAGGTCCTTGTGTTGTTGCAATCCTTTATCTTTATTTTTTGAATCATTGTATGTAGAAAACATCTGTGGGATAGGCTCCATTTCCTGTTACTCTTCTCAGATGGAAATGGGGTGTGTAACTAAATCAGGGTCACTAGGAGGAGGCTAAAACATTACAAGTTTGAGAATCACTGCCCCCAAGGGTCCCAGGATCTTCATTTTTGTCATTAATTTTTATATTTAAAGATTAACTTGTTGTAGGTGCATGTAAAATTGCATGATTTTATTCTGAGGAAGAATGGAATTACACCTATTGAAATCTCTACCTCTTTTTGAAGTCTGTTACATTATAATTGAGTTGGCTGCTATGATCATGTACTAACTCTATCCTTGAAGTAACAGGCTTCAAGATGATGTGGTGAGAAACTTTTGCTTTGACATATCATGATTATATTCAATATTTTGTGTTAATTTGTAGTTTGTTACATCCAGAATATTCACTCACATTCAAGATTTAACAGGATCACATTGGAATATTGGGTTGCACTGCATGTGAGATAAGTTTGAGCCTAGGTTTCTTGGTATGAACCATTCAACAATGTCCATTTATGTTGCTTTTATCCTTGCAATGGCCTAACCATTTCCATTTGGGTATGTTCCATAGTCAGATTGTGTTAGACTTCTTCCATTGATCCTTGTCTGTGCTCATTGATCTTCTATGAAATGCCATCCATAATGTACTCCTGAGCTGTGAGAGTTGTCATGGAGCTAGGGAAACAAATTTTATAAATATTTCCAGTCTATATTTCTGATATTCTGGCTAATTTCTGAATTGATAGGTAACTATATGCAAGCACATGTAATCAGCACAATCTCACTAATGCATATGATGTTCCTTTGAATTTCTTCCATCAGGATCAGGCTACTCAGTAAAACATATGATTCTGCACATGTGCCATTGTATTCAGAGGGAACATTTTTATGGTTTTTCTTTTTTAATAACTTGGCAAGCAATAAGCCAGTGTCTGACCCATGCTAGGGACTTTGCTGAGAATGGTTCTGTTTTCTGGGCAGCTGCCTGGGCACCTTGAGTCCAAGGGGCTTTGGCACATTTATTTTTATTGCACTTGGTTGCATTCAGTTACTGCTATTGCCTTTGTTGATTGTTAATAAGTAGCAAGTAAAATTTAATCTCACTCTCAGTCTTATGGGAGGGGGGGGGGGCAAGGGGATCGCATTTCATCAGTGATAAGAGAAGTCAGGGAGGCACTTGAGAAGCAGACGAGCATTAGGCAATCGCTTATGACACTCAAAAGCCTCCTGTGTATGGACATCTTTTTGTTTACGCGTCAGCGTTTCTCCTCACTTTATCATTTCTAAGGGAAACTTGCCCATGATTGTTTTTGAAGCCACGTGTGTGCCAAATTTCATCGCACAACTTCCAATATTTTGAAGTTAATTTTAAAACAGACGATATAAAGATTAAATGTACCATAATGAATATTCTATAACCAAATTCATTCATCAGGTTTCAGTGCTATGTGTATCACGATGCCATTTTCGCGGTTAACTCCTCTCCCGCTTCCGAGAATTTTTAGAATATCCAATATGTCATACATGTCCGGGTGGATTAGACCATCCATTTCCCCTTCGCATAGAGTAGCGGTTCTCATTATGTGGGGCGCGCCTGAACCCGAATAATTAAGGGTATAATTATTATATAACCACTTCTCCCCCCTCCTCATTTTTAGTAGGCGTTTGCGCCGTCAGCGGAGGGAATATGTCAAAGGAGAAATCAGTGGAACAAGTACGGGGCCAATGTGGCAGAAAAAGTTGCTTGTGCTGCATTCCCCACCGCTCTGTTGCCCTGGCAACCTCTCCCACCAGTTTGTTTGTCGGAAGGTGTGGAGCACGATGAAGTGGCTTGATGGTCGTTTCTTAGAAGAGACGCAGTGCGGAGAAAATGAATAAAAACAGCTGACGGGGGGGGGACACGACCACAAATCCTGCTCTGTGCGTGTCATACGTACGTTGGAGGCTCGTTCTCCGGCGCTGTCTGAAATAAACACGGTATGGAATTTATGTTCAAGGGGACCTGACCCGGGGAGATGATAAAAAAAATAGACGTCGAGGAAGAGATAGTCCGATAGCTTGAGTGAAATCGTGTGGATTTCACTCTGTGCTATCAGTGGAGCCCTCGGCGTTCTTACATCCGCTTCCGTCTCGTGACGTCAGTGTGATGCATTATTGAACGTTTCCCTCTTTCGTGTCTCGTTATCTTCTGAAAAGGATGAGTCACGTGAATTCCTGGGAATGACTCGAATTGATTTCCATTTGTGCGACCCGGGGGGGGGGGGGGGGGTGGTGCCCCGAAATCGATCGGTCACAATATTCGAGAGCACACATCGGGCACGAAGGGAGGGGACAAAGGAGAGGCATGAAACCTTGATCGGTAGGAACGCGCTCCGGCATGACGTAAACGAATGTCATGGCAACGTTGGCGATACCCGCACCCGACCGGTCTCGTGCCAGAATGAGAAAGTGGGTTGGACCCAGATGGGTGCTGCGTGCTCTGCCGGGACGGTAACGGACGACGTCCATCCACCCGCTGCCGAGGACCACCCACCCACCCGCGAGACGAGGCGAGCGGAGGAATCCTCCCCGACTTCTGTGGTGTTGGAGACGGGTTCTCCCGCGGAGGAGCTCCCAGTCGTTCCCTCCCCCGAGGTGGAGGAGTGGAAAGGGGACAGGGAGGAGGGACCCTCCGTGGTGCCGGAAAGCGTGAGAGAGGTGGGATCGGATTTTTTCCCCCACATCTATCGTTTCGCGATCTATGGCTATAAACGGAGACATCCGTCGTGTAAAGATAGTTTTTGCGTCTTTCGCGGCCGAGCTTCAGCGAGGTCAATCCCCGTGTAGTGTATGACGAGGCTCTAATGGCTAGCGCATCCACCGTTACATTATACCCGGGCTGTGGTCGGTCGCCGTCCTTGCCTGGTAAAATATCGTTCCGCTCGGACTTAGTTTCCTCCTCGATCCCCGAGTTTCCTTTCGTGAGTCGAGGAGTCCCCATAGTTGCTATTTCCTTCTGAGGGCGAGAGTCACGGTCGTGTCTTCGCTCGCGAGTGTGACGTCATTCTCGCGCGATTGGCTTTTCTTTCATCATCCTCGTTGACCCTTTTTTCTCCTCGTTTCCACGTCCGCGCGGATCATGCCAGGTGTGGGATTGGATGAATTGAAGTCCCGTTGCCCCTCCTTCTGGCATTGTCTCTGTGCCTTTTTTCGTCCGACAGTTCCTCGTCCTGTATCTCGGATGGGTTATCATTGATGAAATCCTGAAAAATCGGGCCTGGCTCGACCAGCAGATCAGGGTTGGTCTCTTCGAGTCCCTCTCCGTGTATGCTCTGTTGACTCGTGTGTGAACCATGGCATACTGGTACCTGTGTCGTGCTCCACACGCGAAGCACTGAATCGGTTGCACGTGACACCCTAAGTGGATGGATCTGCAGCGTGTTCACCCCCGTCCTTTTTTCCGTGCAGGAAATGGCCCAGAATGGCTCAAGCACGAACCACGACTTGCCTCCGTCGACCCCGTCCGGGGCCGACATCGACGAGAGCCTCTACTCTCGTCAGCTATACGTCCTGGGGCACGACGCCATGCGGCGGATGGCCACCTCCGACGTCCTCATCGCGGGCATGGGGGGACTCGGCCTGGAGGTGGCCAAGAACGTCATCCTCAGCGGGGTCAAGTCCGTCACACTCCATGACGAGCGCAAGTGCCAGATGTCGGATCTGTCGTCCCAGGTTGGTCTTTTCGCTTTTGGGTTTGGGAATCGATGCGTCGAGCCGAGGGCGTGTTTGTCTCAATGATTTTATGATTTTGGTGATGGGTGAGATATGCGATGCTGCGAAAGGTCCCGGCATGCCCTTTTAACCCTTTCCTGGCAGGGGTATCCGAACACTTCGAGGATGTCGACCTAATAATAGGACGACGCCAGGGAAAGGGTTAAAAACGCATTTTCCCGTCGAGAATTCATATCTTAGGTGAATTTAGTATTATGTTGATTCTTACATCCCAGACGACATGAAATAGAATATGTTAAAGTAAGTTGCAATCGCTCGTAGAAATGTTTTCTGGCTGAAAAATTGATTTGGATTTGATTTAAAGCAATTTTTTGACTTGTAATTTCCAACACAATTTTTATAGGCTCTTTATGGCATGGAAATGTGTTCTTCATGGATTTGAAGACTGATTTTCTGCCTTCAAAGCTCAAAGAAGTTGCTCTCTTTCATTAGTTTAGTAGCATTTTGAAATCTGGCAAACTAAGTACAGAGAAGATTTAATGCTTCCCTTTTGCATCAAATTGTATCTGAAACAGGTTCTCTTCTGAAAAGAAAATCCTCTCCAAAAGGGGAGGGCCAGAGATTTCATTTACATGGATCATTCCAAAAGTTTCTTTCACTCTCATGCTGTGTTGTTACCCTGTAAATTTGGAGCCTGAAATTTTCAAACTTTAATCTGTGACTCATGGTTATATCTTTCCATATTTCATATATTTGTCAGCTATTCTAATGGAGGTTATTGCTGGAGTTGAATCATGTCTACTTTTGACTTTTCATTTTTACAACAATCATTCAGTCGGGATGACATCAGGACAATCATTAAATTCTACTTCCTCCTGGAAAAATTCTGTCCTGAAATCATCAAGCTACTCACTTCTTGTAGGAGACTGTGTGCCATCTATTCAAACTGTCCAACATTGGTACCGTAAGTTAAGGAGGGTTGCACATCAACGTATGTTACAAGTCGCTCTGTTCGTCCTGTCAAAGCATCCACAGAGGATATGGTGGCTTGTGTTTGTAAAACCAGTAAGAAGACAGACGGCAGACGTGAGCAGCTTGCTGACAGACTGGGCAAGTCTAAAACCACTGTGTTCCACGTTCTTACTGAAATCTCCATATGACCAAGCTCAGATGATGCTTTGACAGGACAACCAGAGCAACTTGCATCATGCGTTGATGTGCAACCCTCCTTAAACTGATGGTATCAATGTCAGACAGTTTGGTTAGATGGTGCAGTCTCCTAGATTTTTCTAGTAGCTTGTAAAATTTAATGATTGTCCTGATGTCATCCTGACTGAATGATTTGTTGTAAAAATGAACAGTCAAAAGTAGACATGATTCAACTCCAGCAATAACCTCCGTTAGGATAACTGGAAGGAAACTTTTGGAATGACCCACATACACTGTTATATATGCGTTGATACAAGTAGGCTTAAAATGGTAGATGCAGATTATGATTTGCATTTCTTTCCAAATTGCTATGGTGGAACTTGTGTTTGCCTTATGTTATGGTTGGTGGATGTATATTGCAGTACTACTTGAGAGAGGAAGATTTGGGGAAGAATCGAGCTGAAGCCTGTGTCCAGAGGTTGGCTGAGCTCAATAATTATGTCCCCACGGCAGCCTACACAGGAAAGCTCACAGAAGCCTACATCAAGAAGTTCAAGGTATGTTGTTCCATTCCTTGGAAAAATGGACTAGCAAGTCTGGATTTATTTCTGTGCTGTGTTTAAGGAAAGCACGGCAAGATTGGTTTCTTAGCTTCACCTGTTTGGAGGGATGTTCCAGATGTTTCCTGAAAATATGAAGAGCTTAGTATTAAAATTGCAGTAATTTTTGGCCTGGTGTATTAATCATACAGAATTATTTTACATGAAATTAGTGTTTTTTTATTCTGCCCAAATGATTGGTAGTGGAAATTTATTGGTTGTGGTAGCTGTTCCAAATATTCTGAAACTAGTGGAAGGTGTGCAATGAAATTTGGCCCAGACATAGCTCTAAGCCTGAATATGAGCTAAGGGGTGTTTCATTAAAATATGTCCAACATAGAAACACAGTAAATGTTATGTTAGGATGATAGAGGAACTTAGTACAGCTGAAGGAGGGTCAAGTTGCTTGCTGGCATTTGGTGTTGGCCAAGTTCATGAGTGTCTCCTTATTGCTGGCAATATATAATCCCTGCTTTCAGTTGGAAGATTGCATACAAGGAGAGCACATTTCAGCACACAGCATGATATGTCCTTGGTTTCATGTAGTACTGTGTTCTTGTTCCAATCACAGGTGGTCGTGTTGACAGACTCGCCATTGTCAGAACAAGAGTGGATTTCAGAGGTGACCCATGCACAGGGGATCGCCCTCATTGTGGCAGACACTCGAGGTCTCTTTGCCCAAGTCTTCTGTGACTTTGGCGAGAACTTCCAAGTTCTTGATGTGAATGGAGAAAATCCACAGACTGCCATGTTAGCATCAATAACTAAGGTATGCTTATTGTCACTTCTACATTTTCTTCAGTTGAACAAAACATTTTTGTCCTGGCATGGGTCTCCAATTAGTGTATTGGGCCACGCACAAGAATGTTCAAGAGCATTACCATTATTCCCATTTTTCCTGTTAGCATTTGGTTTTTTCTCACTTTTCCTGTAATCATGCATCTCAAGCTCCAATAACCATGGTGAAATGTAAAAATTTTTGGTGCTTTTCAGTTTCTTAGGCTCTCCAGTCATGATTGTGTTTTGAGATACTAATGTTCTTTGTTGTGGGAATAAGCACTAGTTTTAGGACAAAATACATTAGACTCAAGAAGTGACAATGAACTGTTAGCATCCCAGTTTTCTGCCTAAGCATGGAGCACAAAGACTTTTTACTTATGAGAAGTGTCTTATGACCAAAGGACTCAGTCCACTGCTGATTTAGCCAATGACATTGTTTTAGGACACAAATTTGGGATTGCTTGACCATAGTGTGATCCCCTTAAGTTTCTATAAACTTGGACAGAAGCCATTGCATGCATATGGTCATTATCTTTTCTTCAAAACTGGTGAAGTTCTGATGAAAAATTGGTAAGCAAAAATATTAATTAAATTTTTTGTTGCTGTTGACAATTGAAATATAGGGTAACTTTGGTTGAATATGGCCCTTCATAATATATCTGACAGACTGAATAATTAGTTTGAGGGAAATTTCAAAATAGGTCTGTCGAAGAGTACATGCAACTTTTGAAATGTTATGCCCTGTGCATACAAGAATATGAGATATATCGATGTTTTGAAAGTTATATGGATGCGATTGCTCAACTCATGACCCAAAAACTAATATTAGCATTTAACAACTTAAGCATATGTTTCCTAATAGCATTATGGATTCAGGAACCATTTGTTCAAAGTTATTCTATGGTCCCTTCAGAATGTTTGAGGAAAGTGCTAGTACTTTCAATTGTGTTCTGTAGGCAGTGTTGTCGACTTTGTCATCAAAGCCAACATTGGGGAATTGGCCGTCTTGAATAGGGGTAATATGAACACCACCTTGATTTCACGGATGCTGACCTATCGGCAGTGTTAGATTCCTTTTATGTGGGGTCTCAGGCAGCAATAAATCATCCTATGTGCATCCATTGCAGATGTCCTGAGATTCACTGAACATTTGCTTGATAGGCGTAGCCTCATGGAACACCTTGTGGACTTCCTCTGGATGTACTCCAGGAAATTTTCATGACAAGATATTTGAGTGCTGGTAAATATCCTTTGTGCAAAAATTGAAATGTCATCCTTTGATTTTATTATTGTGTAAGCACACAAACTACACAATGTTCTCCCTGTGCTATTGGACTTCTTTGTTCACACTCATAGTACATGTTCATTTAGACTTCTGGGTGCTCAGTCCTCTTGCACCTGCAGTCTCAAGATACTGTCTTCCAATCACATACAATGCTTCTCGTGGCCAAAAGTGTTTCAAACCTGTTTTTCCTAGCAGATCCTGGAGTGAGGTTATTTGTTCATAAAGCAACTCCTTTGCTTTTCCTCAAAACAGTTGTAGTTTTCAACTGCTTAACCTCATTTGTTGTGTTCCATGTTACTTAGTATGTTCGAGTGTATTTTACACATATATTACAAACCTTGGGTTTTTTTTTTAGATGTGGGCATATTTCCTAGACAATAGGGTTAAAATCGCCACTTGAGACCAACTTTGAAAGGATCCAAATGTGTAACATCAATGGGCTTTTTTGCATGTACCTTCCTGGGATTGGGTGAAGGAGATATCCATCAATATTTTCAAAACATTGACAAAGTCAAATTCAAGATTGATAGGCAGTTAAGGGTCAGGTTTAATTTTTTTGGGCCATATTCCCCCAAATTCCCTTATGGGGAAAACTACTGTATACTTTGGTAATTGTAATTCAGAATTCCTTCTTGCCTTCTCATAATGAATTTCTGGAATGTTATCACAGAGAATTTAAATGGGATTTGTCAGGGTTAAGTCCAACAAGACAGCTGATTACATAAGAAACTCTAACATCCCATGGAAAGTATTGTGAAGAGTGGGAAAAGAAGGCATCTTCTCCTTTAAAAAAAAAAAAAACAATTTGTTTGTTATTTTGCTGTCATTGATTTGTGTAGTCAAATGTAGGATATTGATAGTATTGCTGGTTTTTGCTGTTTTGAGTGAAGGTTGTTTTTCTGGTAACTTGCTATGTTTGAGGAAGTGTTCCATCATGTCCCATAAAGGCATTGTTATGAGTGTACCTTACTGGTGCTTTGACAAGTTGAGGTCTTTGATGTGAAGTCTTTTTTCAGACAGCTATGAACAAGTTAGTATCAACCCCAACCTAAGAATGTATATACCTGTTTTTATGTCTGTATGGGCATTTGCAAATTCCTCCTATTCTGAAGTTGTTTTGAGGTAATTCACTGTAATGGTTCTATATGTAGGACAAGGAAGGAGTGGTGACTTGCCTGGATGACACTCGACATGGACTGGAAGATGGAGATTATGTCACATTCTTTGAGGTTGGAGGCATGACAGAGCTCAACAACTGTGAACCACGTCGCATTAAAGTACTTGGTAGGTTATTTCCATTCCTCATCTTTCCCTCCTTGTCTGCCATCCAGGCATTCCCTGCTTGCTAATGTATTTTTTTCTTTCCCTCAACAGGGCCATACACCTTTGGGATTGGAGACACGAGTACATTTTCTGAGTACACAAGTGGTGGGATTGTAAACCAGGTCAAGATGCCAAAGGATCTCCACTTCAAGAAGTTCAAAGATGCCATGGCAGAACCAGAATTTGTAATGACATGCCTGTCACACTTCGAGCGGCCTGCTTTGCTCCACCTTGCCTTCCAGGCTTTGCATCACTTTGAGACCCAGTACCAGAAGCTTCCTGAATCATGGGACCAGGCAAGTGCTATTCAGAGAATTATTCATTTGTGTGGTCATGTTCTTTTTCTTTTCATTTTATGCTTTTCACATGATTGGTATAAATCAGGGGTGTCAAACATACGGCTCTTGGGCCAGATCCAGCTGCAGAGGTTGTTCATCTGGCCTGCCATCTGTTTTTGAAATTTTGGTTTGGATTGACTGTCAGCACAAATATTGGTGAAAAATTATGGGTGCGGCCCACAGGCACATGCAAGATAAGGAATGCGACCTGCTGACAGATTTGAATCCGACACTCCTGGTATAAATGAGTAACCTGGAAATATGTGATAAGATGGCTTCTTAGCACATTCACTGTTATGAACAAAAAAGGGCATAAAAAAAAGAATACTCATTAACTCGAATTTTTAGGGACCGGGCAAATTGTTTCGAGTTATCAGGAATTGACCCCCCCCCCCCCTCAAAAAAAAAAACTCGTTAAGGGACATAGAGGACAGAATGGCTTGGAGTGAGAGCGATAGATTGACAGAGCGAATGTTGGAGACTTTTTTATAGCCGAAGCTTTTCAGTTTTTATTCTCAGGTTTAATCCTCTCCACAGGCATCTGTGGGAGGAGGGAGAAGCAGAAAAAAAAGAAACAAAAGAGCATCCTCCCGAAAGGGTTTCTTGTCATTTTATTCAAAAATCGAAAAGTCTCACGAGAAGAATTTTTCCCCCCTTCTCACCCTGAATTTGAGTTAATTGTGAGAAAATCATTATAGGGAGTGAAAATTTCATTCGAGATAAGCAAATTCAAGTTAAACAGAGCTTTTAACATGGTGTCCTACGGGGTTCCGCCGGGACCAAGCATTGAACTTCGAGATAAGCAGAATTTCGACTCATCAGGATTCGAGTTAACGAGTTTTCACTGTAGTTAACTTGATCTAGATGCACTGTACACAGGGACAGGAAATGATGTGTATAGTTTTGTTGTGTCCTTCCAGATTCTAGAGACAGCACTTTTTTTACATGCCTTTTTATATATAAAAAAAAATCTAAAAATGCATTTGAAACTGGCTGGGAGCTTTAGAGGCTGGCAATAGCTGTGTGAATAATATTCTATGAAGACCTCAAATGAATGAATGACAATATTTTAGGAAGATACTCAGAAGTTCCTGACAATTGTCCAAGACCTAAACCAGAGGTCAAGCTCCCAAATGGAAGAATTGGACACAGGGCTCTTGAGCCTCTTTGCTGGCATCTGTAGAGGAAATCTTGCACCCATGTGTGCTGTCATTGGTGGGATTGTCGCCCAGGAAGTGATGAAGGCTTGTTCTGGGAAGTTTCATCCTGTCTTCCAGTGGCTCTATTTCGATGCCATCGAATGTCTACCCAAGAATCCTGCCTCCACCCTATCAGCTGACATTTGCCGTCCAGTTTGTCCTCTCTGTTGGCTCTACCATATGTTGACTTGTCCCTTGTGATCCAGTTTTCTGATTCATGAAATGCCATCTTCCCATTTGGTCCACAGATAAACTCCCGGTATGACTCCCAGTTGCTGGTGTTTGGGTCAGAGTTTCAGAAGAAGTTGGGAGCAGTGAAGATGTTCATAGTGGGAGCAGGAGCAATTGGGTGTGAGCTTCTAAAGAACTTTGCCATGATGGGAATTGGAGCTGGGACAGGGGGTCGAGTCACAGTCACTGACATGGACATCATAGAACGCTCTAACCTCAATAGGCAGTTTCTCTTCAGACCATGGGATGTTCAGAAGCCCAAGTCTGACACTGCTGCTCAAGCAGTACGTGGTTTTTCCCCGCAGTTATAATTATATATTGTCAAGTTTGAGCCATTTTGCAGATATCAGGCATGTTAAATGAATATCTTTTGACCCTCAACAGGTGAAGGCAATGAATCCTGGGATGCATGTGGTGTCTCACCAGAATCGTGTTGGACCAGAGACAGAGAAGATATATGATGATGCTTTCTTTGAAGACCTTACTTGTGTGGCCAATGCTTTGGACAACATTGATGCCCGTGAGTTTATATGTCTTCTCATGTCCCTTCTCTCTATGGTTCTCATGTTGAAGCTTGGATTTTGGCCATAATAGCAAACGTCTTAAAACACCCATCTTGTCTTGAAAATTTCACATGAGCTTTCATTTCTATCCTGCTTTGGTTTGGTTACAAGAAGTTTTGAAAATTCTGTAGTTCATAATGTGTAGCTCTGTATAATCTCAGGGAATAGACAAAGAAGGGAAACAAAATGACTTTGCTCAGTAGGATAATTTACTTTTAAAAGCTTTCTTTCCTGTTTGGGATGACTTGGTCTTGGCTCTTGGGCCTCATTTTAAGCAGACAGTTTCCTTGTTACAAGCAAATAATTCAGTGGATTGCACCTTAATAAGTATGACCAGGGATAAAAATTGTGCATGCTGTGTAGATGTCTTTATATGATGGGACTGGGACATGCTCATGCCCTGATGATGCAGCACGACCTAATGTGATTCTGGATGCTTATCACAATAGGGATATACATGGATCGCCGATGTGTTTATTACCGGATGCCCCTCCTGGAGTCAGGGACACTGGGGACAAAGGGGAATGTTCAAGTCGTGGTACCTTTCTTGACTGAGTCCTATTCCTCATCACAAGATCCTCCTGAGAAGTCCATCCCCATTTGCACACTAAAGGTATGAATGATGAAGAAGAGCTTTGTGCAATATGGTTGGGGGTGTTGCTAATGTTTTCTGTTCTGAACTAGGCAGAATTCAACTAAGTCAGGTCAACTAAGGTCAGGAACTCTTCCTCTGCTTCTCAAGTTCACACTGTACATAACATACAGGCCAGTGAGCGTGTGCACAACATGTACTAAAGCAGAGCTGCCTTGGAGGTCTGAGATGGATCAATTGACATGAACTTTATGATGGTAGTGCCCAAATACATGTGAGGTTCATTTGCTCCAAGAAATTATGGGGTACATAAGTTCTTCACTTGAGTGAAGGCTTATCTGGATCATGTGTGTTGTTGATGCAGCCTCCAATTTCTATTGTCTTAAGCATTTGTAGCTATTTACACAATGATCAAAGCTTATCAAACAAAGCCAATGTTGATCCTGTTTAATAAGCTTGACCTAGAAAGGCTGAAAATTCAAGAAGTAAGAATTTCTATGTATGTTCTCGTGTGTGTGTGTGAATAAATGTCAGTGGTGATTATGCAGAAAAGTGGAGTGGGAAGTGGGAACAGGGTTTCTTATTACCACTGCGTGTATGAATATTGGAAATATATTTCTTTTTTGAGAGACATAGGAAACTTACTTTCTGATATACCCTTGTATCTTGAAAGAGGCATGAATGTGTTGTGCCATATGCCCTTGTTGGCAGTGAATGTGTTAAGGAAAAATGCAATGGGATTCCTTCTTTTATCTCTGTACCAGAATTTCCCAAATGCCATTGAGCACACTCTGCAATGGGCACGGGATCTATTTGAAGGCCTGTTCAGGCAGAACCCTGAAAATGCCCATCTCTACCTGAGTGATCCGAAGTTTACTGAGCGTACTCTCAAACTACCTGGAATCCAGCCTGTGAGTCTGATGAACATTTAATCAAAAGTCTGTTGAAACAAGAGGGAAGGGTATTGAGTACAGCTATGGCATGTTTGACTTACAGGTTGAGGTATTGGAGAGTGTGAAGGCAGTACTGGTAGATGAGAGGCCCAAGGATTTTGCTGATTGTGTCCACTGGGGCAGAGTCCAGTTTGAGGAGTTGTTTGTGAATCAGATCAAACAGCTCCTGCATAACTTTCCTCCTGAGCAGAAGACATCATCAGGACAGCCATTCTGGTCCGGTCCCAAGCGTTGTCCCCACCCACTCAGTTTCAGTTTAGAAGAAGTGAGGAAGCATTTCATTATCCCTTGTATTTCTCTCTCTCCCCTGTATATGCTGCAGTTCACCAATTCTTTTTTTCTTTTTATTTTCCATTTTGTTATCTTCAGGAACTCCACATGGACTTTGTAACAGCTGCTGCCAACCTGAGAGCAACTGTTTATGGGTTGAAGGGGATTTTGGACCGAAAATTGATCATGAAATATCTTCAGGCCATGCATATCCCTGTTTTCACACCAAGGGAAAATGTGAGAATAGCCACCACAGATGCAGAAGCTCAAGTGACTTCCAACATGTCACTTGGTAAGATTTCATCTTCACCCAGCTGAGCATGTACTTAAATTACTGAAAGTTTATTCATTCGTGGTTTAAAGAACTGAAAGAACTTATTGAATTCAGAAAAAGAATTCATTGCTAGATAGCCAGTTCTCTTTCTGTCACAGAATTTCTTGCCCTTGTTGAAGATGTCTCCTCTGTTCTTTGTTTCCATCCTGGCTGTTGGCAGACTATACCATTCCTGTTAAGCATTGACGGTTGGTGGTACTTGGTGGTATTCATATTTGGAATATTTAGAATATTTTGCTGTCAGGTTGGGGTCATTTAAGGATCACTTGAATGGTGTTGCAGTGAAAGTGCTTTCATGTATGAGTGGAGCTCTCCTGCCACAGACCCAGTTCCAGGCCCACAGTAATGGGTAACTTTAGTAGTTTATGTTACTCAAATTTCAGTGCCATAGACTGATGTAGATGATGGGAAGAAAAGATTTAATGAGGTACTGTAACCTCTAAACTTCTTATAAGAAACTGAATCTCAGTATTCTTTTTATTCTGTGACTTTCTTTTCATATGTCCTGATTCATCAACAGTGGTGACTTGCTATATTTAGTGCTAAATATCACAAGCTGCCACTGTTCAATAGTTAAGCTATATCAAGAATGTGGCAAGCACAGAACTACCCTTGCAGGAGGAAATTGACTGGCAGAAATTAAATAATTATTTCCCCCCCTCAATTCTCTTTTTTCCTAATGACAGATTCAGAGAAGTTGGACAAACTACTGGCAGAGCTGCCTAAAGCAGACCAAGTAGGTGGCACTCGAATCACTCCAATCGAGTTTGAAAAGGATGACGATACCAACTTTCACATGGACTTCATTGTAGCTGCTTCCAACCTCAGGGCCGACAACTACCGAATCAAACGAGAGGATCGACATCGAGTCAGTCTCATTTCTCATTGCATGTCTTACTTATAGTTTAAGCTATGAATGCATTTTGCTCTCTTTTCCCTTGCAGAGTAAGTTGATAGCAGGGAAGATCATCCCAGCTATTGCAACCACAACATCCCTTGTGGCTGGACTGGTGAGCCTGGAGCTCTACAAGATCATCCAGAATCACAAGGATCTGGAGAGCTATAAAAACGCTTTTGTCAATTTGGCCCTTCCCCTCTTTGCTTTCACTGACCCCATTGCTCCCCGCAAAAACAAGGTCTGCTCCTTGTCTGGATGATTGTGTGAGGTACCCCGTTGCAACAAAGACTCATGTGACTTATTTATTTGCAGTATTATGAGGTCGAGTGGACACTTTGGGATCGTTTTGAGGTTCAAGGGGAGATGACTCTCAAGCAGTTTATTGATTATTTCATGAAAGAGGAGGGCCTGGAGATCACTATGCTCTCACATGGTGTCTGCATGCTCTATTCCTTCTTCATGACCCCAGCCAAGAAGGAGGAACGGATGAATATGTTGTAAGTCTTGTATTACAAGTGGATGCTGTCAACTCGAATCTTTTCTGATGTTAATAATCTGATACTTGCCTTGATAGTGACTAAATAATAGCCTTGGCAGAGACCTGCCTGTGCCTGTTTAAAAATACTTCTGCTCCAGAATACTTTTAATCCATAACTGTTATTGATATAGATGCATTTTCAGATTCCCTTTGCTACTATTCTCATTTGGTTAAATTGCCCTTCAAGGGATAAGAGATGGAGCATAAAAGCCACTAAAATAATATAAATATTTAAATATTTGCTTCTTTCCAAGGCATGCTCCTTCAACCAGAGTGTCACCAATCTTTTTCCCTTGTCTTCACTCTCCCCCTTGCACTAGGAGTAAAGAAATACCCTTCATATATCTCCTTGTTTTCTGAAGTCAGAGGGCCATAAAAATGTTTTCACTTACATATTAAGCATTATGCCCATACTCCTTTTATTGAGCATTGGCCCATTTTCATTCAATCACATTTGTGTACATTCTTTGTTTTATTTCTGTAACCATTTTCTTTATTATAATTTTTAATTTTCTTGGTGCAAAGCTAATGAGTCTTGGATTTTTTCTCTCATGCATCCTGCTGTACTCACTTTGTTTGCTGACACAAATGCCCTTGTGTTCACCCCTTAGGATGTCGGAGATTGTGCGCAAGGTGTCCAAGAGGAAGATAGAGCCACATGTGCGAGCCCTTGTGTTTGAACTGTGTTGCAATGACAAGGATGGGGAGGATGTGGAAGTTCCATATGTAAAGTATAACCTCCCAGCGAATTTTGGCCAAGCTAATCAAGACAATTGAACCGGTCACCCCCTTCTAGGCGGCAAATATTTTTAAAGTCTTCATCTGATGCTCCTTCTCCTCATCTGTATTACTGCGGCAGGCATTCCTTTTGCCTTACGCGAAGAAAAAGATGTATTGAACTCCCAATGTTGTGATGATTGGAAAAGGAAGGAAGGGAGCAGTCTGCCATGCAGACTCCTTTCATTTCAACATATGTTGGAGTCGGAGGAAGTGAGGAATCGAGATTTTCTAGGTGCCTATTCTCTTTTACTCCCTCCCTCCCTCCCTCCCTCCCTTGTTGTTAGAAGAAGAATGATCGTGAGATGCCCGAGATGGTGATTTCCCTTTGTCTGTCTTTTGCCATGCCTGAAGAGCATAAAGAAGAAAAGAAAGAGCCAATCCCACAAAGTTCATTTCTTGGGTGGGATCATAGTATTGCTGGTGAGCTGTGCAAGTCCTGTATGCTGTGATGTCATTGGAAGGGCTTCTGTCTCCTGATTGCTTTGTGAGGCTTTTTGACAAGAGGTTATGGTAATCATTTGCATGGTGCAAAATTTGTATTTTAGGGAAATCCAATGAGATTGTACTTGTACTACATCAATGGACACTGCACATGAACCATTCAATGCATGATCGGGTAGGAAATGTTGGAGGCCTTCACCTCTATGAGTCGTCTCCTTTGTTCATTCTGAAACTTGACTAAACCATAAATCCCAGGTGTAAATGTTAGAATAACTTCTCAGATAAGAGAATTACCCCCTTAAAATGTCGCACCAAGGAGCGACTTTGCTGGACTACGTGGATCGCCATGGAGGGAGTTGTTCATTGTCGGCAGTTTGGTTCATGTGTGTGAGAAGGGTCTTGCCATGCATTCTGCCAGATAACTCTACTAGCTCTGTCTACTTGGCAACGATTGACTCCACAACCTTTACATCGAGGTTGTAAGATTCTTTTCAGGGCAGTTATTTCCATCATTTCTCATTATCTCATCACCGAAAAGTAATTAATAGATCTCAGGGTAACGGGAAAACCGATCTGCGCAATTCCTCCACGGAACATCTGTTAAATAAATGGCTAAGCAGAATAGGGAGTTAAATTGAACTGCAATCGTCTCAAAGAGGGAGGCAATTTGTGCAGTTACAGCAAATTACGAGTGCTCTAATTATGCACGAGGACTCCATGGACTTCTTGATTCTGGCCATGAAAAAAATGAGTCAGACCGCCACAGCCGCGGAGTGCCTTATACCAAGCCCTCAAGTTTCGGAGATGAAATCCTCACGCGGTATTTATGGGAAGTAATTTAACGTTACTTGCGAGTAACAGCCGAGGCAATTTCCCCCGAAGACTCGTCTTTCACCAGTCGACGATTAAGTTTGACTGGCACAGCTTCTCGCTCGTCTTCATGCTACAAATAAGTGAGACCACACGATCAGCACCTGCTTCTTCCAAGTCAGTTTCTCTGCGCGTTGTAACGAAATTCTAGAAGGTATTCTGTGGACCTTACAGTACTGGAAAAGACACCTGATAATTTTTGTCATTCATTACCTTTACCTGTAAGCATATCCCGAGAGCCAGCAGCGTGTAACCTGGCTGGTTTGGAATGTAATGAATGAGCTATTCCACGTTCATTACATTGAGGAAACGAATAAAACAGGAAGCCCTCGCACCAGGCGAGGGTGGTCACTGGTCCCCCCCCCTTTATAACATCTTGAGGACCGGCACCCTACACAACGTAGATTTTAATAATACAAATAAATAAATACAAAGCAATAAGAGTGCAGCTGACGGTTAAAAAAAAAATGGTTCTGAAAGAAACAGAATCTCTACAATCCACACTGGCACATATCAGAACCAAATAGTACACATAAAGAATCACAGTGGCGTGAAGCTACACCCTGCATGAAAACACAAATTTGTGTCTCCCGTCCTCAAAGTGTTAAAGGTACTTTAATGGATTCAGAAATTGCGTGAATGATAAAAGTGACAGCCAGCCACGTAGCAGGCCATCGGCCCGCGAAGGAGGACATCGCATCAGAGCTGCCATCTCGCAGTCGAGGAATCAACTGCGGAAGGGAAGAACAACCCTTGCCCGGTGTAGTACGCGAATCTGACTCATGTCAAAACCGACTATGGTAGTGTTTTTCGCGTACGCAATTGTGACTACCGTAGTCAATTTTGCATAGCAGACTTTACTACCATAGTGGTTTTTGCGTTCGCCCATTCTACTAGGGTAGTTACATCAGCGTACGCGAATGTTACTACCTCCACGCAGAAATGACTCCTCTCCGAACAAATGCATTTTCACATATATTATTTCTGTGACATCAGCTAAGTTGATCAAATGGTATTACACTGGGGGTGATATTCACATTTTGTTACTAGCAACTTCAGCTCCATATTGTCAATCCCGATGTGTCCTCCACGCGCCTTAGTCTCAAACGAATCGTCGACCCCTTCATGGCAAGCCTTCAGAATCTGTTCTTGTTCTTCTGTGTTTTCCATTACTCTCTTCATAACATCTGAGGATGAAAGCATTGTCATGGGAACGCGCACACACCTGACGCACCTTAAGAAAACCGACCACCAAGAAAACCGTCGCATTCCATTGCAGCGGCAATGGAAAAAGCACTCACCTTCCCTTCTCATGCAAAACTCCACCAATCAGGCAGAAACTCTGTGCTTTTTACCTTAGGTTGGACTTAGCTCCAGGGTTGTTCTTCATGGATGAGGGGTACTCTCCATGGCGAAGATATGTCGCGATCGATTCGTAACTACAATCGGCCATTTCCTCAGAGAAACGCATACTTTACGAGGAAACCACAGAACTGGTGCAACTGTATTCTGTACACCCGTTCTTTTATGCTTCAATTACCTGTACCGATAAGTATCTAACAGGTCAGGTCAAAGTTTCAGGGAAATGATACTCTCCTACCCAGATCCTGGAGGCATGGCTGGAAAGGAGATAGTGCAACGAACGTAAAGCCCATTACGAACATCGTAAGCTTACAGAAGTCATTTTCGCATGACAATAGTAGGTCCTGCGTATGCGGATTTCACTACGGTAGTGAATCGGCGGTCAACATTTTTACTATGGTAGTGGTTTCAGCTTACGCAACTTTACGGTAGTCGTTTCTGCGGGGTAGTCAGAATCGCGTCCTACACCGGGAGGATGTCGGATTCGTGATTGGTTCTGCTTTTGTGTCCGGGTCGGATGAGATCTTTAGCTCTTTTCGTGAGATTTGCATTTTCGGGTGTGGGACGGACCACGTGGGTCTAAATCGAAGCTCATGTTGATGAGAGGATTTAAACAGGGATTTGCCGAAATACTGTGGATAACCAATGTAACAAACATTTATGGGGACTCCTGGGAGCCGATGACTGAAAAATTGAGGATGAAAATTGCCACTCTTTACCATTGCCTAATTTTTCTTATCTCTGTTGTTTTTACGCTGGGTTACATCATGTCGTCCGATTCTGTTCACACATTAAAAGTTTCCGATTGAACATTTTCTGGAATTCTTTAGGCCGACTCTATCCTGAAAGGAGTGGAAGTCAGCTTCTTGACCTGTCAGTTTGGCAAATGTGGCATCTATCTTAATAATATATTAAATCTTATAGTACCACGCAGCCGATTCGTTGGCTGAAAACGCTATATCGTTCCTCTGGTAATATAAGGGTTAATGCGTGAACGATGTAACTATTTTCCATACTTGAACGTTTCTTGTTCAACTTCAACCTACAGAACACGCGATCGGGGAATGCGACCAAGCGCCAATATTCTGCCGATGAGGTCAGAGAGTCCATACGGCACACTAATCTGACACTGCACGATTCGCCCCTGCAGCAAAGGATGACGTCTCGCAGCCCGACCCCTTCGAGTCCTAAAGTTGGCAATAGGCAGACGAGAATCGAGGCTTCACCCTCGATCTAATTTCGATGAGGGCAGACAGGCCTATAACGAGATGGGCCTTGTGGAGTGTAGGCTCAAGCTTCCTTCACCACGTTATCCGTCGGGGGAGCGTCGGTAGTGGTGTCTATACTCCCAACAGCGGGATCATTCGAGAGTCGCGGTACTTAGGTTCATTTCGAAGACTCAGTTGCATTGTAGTACCTAAAATGGTCTCAGTTTGGTTGCATTTGCAGTCGACTGGTACTACGACTGGACCTTGAACGGATTGAGATATTGTAATCGTTCTCCAGTTCCTGTCTGCAGTTGCCACTCGTTTTTTTTTCTGTTCAACTGTAGAGATATTGTGTTTCAATTACTCGCTGACCCATTTCTAATTTCCTCGCACGTTTTTGATCTGAACGAATTGAAACGGTTCGACCCCACCCACAGATCGGTGTCACATTCCATTTAGGACTGGATCGCAAGCGGGGTGCTCAGTTGCCACGATTTAAGATTGGCAAAGGCAAGCGATGGATAATCCTCGTTCCACTGTGACGAGAAGAAGTAAGCACACCGACTGCAAATCATAGGATTAAGGGTCGTGTCATTTGTATAGTACTTGTTGTCTTCCCATTGAGGCAGGTGCCCCAGGGCCATGCCAGAAGAGAGACTTGAGACTTACTAATTGATTGGAGCCACAGTCACGCTCCGAGCAGGCTGAAACCTGACTAAGATTGGACGGGGAGTCGACGCAGACTTTCACAAATGCGGTCTGACTTGAGTGCCCAAATGGCACTTCTCGCGCGAGAAACCCAACTGTAACTGGACTGCAGCCGAGCTGCCAGTTTGGAATCAACCATAGGTTTGGTTAGGCACTTTTTGCCGTAGTGAAAGCTTTTGTGACGATGGTGCGGAAATGCTTTACAGAGCGTGTACCATGTTTTCAGGAAAAAAAGACTTTGTCCATATTTTTTCACGTAAAATTACGTTTTTCGTAGCCTAAATATGAATTGGCTGGAAGGGTTTTAAACGTATCTGACGTAACATATTAGTCTAGCAGCGACACACATCAAGCAAGGGATTGTAGGCGCCTCCGACGTGAATTAACATTAATGACTCACGAACGGACCACCAGCGTGTCCGAGGTTATAATGACTCCGTTGACTCCTCGTTTGTAATACAGTGCATTTATTGAGATGACCAGTATTGGGTGAGGTCAATGGCAGTAGGGATCAGAATAGGGATATTTAGAACCGTGTTGGAATCGATTGCATCAGGTGATCGATGGACAAGGAATGCAAAAGGATCAATACCTGAATGGATGCTAGTGTGCGATGTAAGGACTTCCGGCACTCACTCCCAACCCGATCAGGGGGTTCACACACGTGTCCCGCGTCTTTACGGCAGTCCTCAATTGTACTCGCGTCTTTACGACAGTCCTCAATTGTACTCGCGATGCCACACGCGCTCGCCTCTCGTCCCGACAACTGCGCTGCTGATGCTCTCTGCCCCACACTCGCTGAGCGCGCGGGACTTGTATTACATCGTATCGAGCATGCGTATTGTCCAACACGACGATTTGAGCATCCTTATTACCTCATACAGGATAACTTCATTAAAGTGGAACATTGTGTGA